ATTTTTCTCTATATTTTTATGTGAATGTGATATTGTGACAAAGTGTAACTTCAATCTAGGTCATGCTAGGACTTTTAATTTGGTCTCATTTTGTAACTATTATAGAAATACTATATACCTGTACCCCCTTTCATGGGGTCACATTTCTTTATTTTTTGTCTATTTTGGGTTATTCTGACAGGGGCGGCCTTTTCTCTATATTTTCATGGGAATGTGATATTGTGACAAATGTTACTTCCATCTAGGTCAAGCTAGGACTTTAAATTTGGTCTCATTTTGTAGATATTATATATAACTACATACCTGTACCCCCTTTCATGGGGTCACATTTCTTTATTTTTTGTCTATTTTGGGTTAATCTGACAGGGGCGGCCTTTTCTCTTTATTATCATGGGAATGTGATATTGTGACAAATGTTACTTCCATCTAGGTCAAACTAGGACTTTAAATTTGGTCTCATTTTGTAACAATTATATAGGACTATATACCTGTACCCCCTTTCATGGGGTCACATTTCTTTATTTTTTGTCTATTTTGGGTTAATCTGACAGGGGCGGCCTTTTCTCTTTATTTTCATGGGAATGTGATATTGTGACAGAGTGTTACTTCCATCTAGGTCAAGCTAGGACTTTAAATTTGGTCTCATTTTGTAGATATTAGAGAGTACTACATACCTGTACCCCCTTTCATGGGGTCACATTTCTTTATTTTTCGTCTATTTTGTGTCATACTGACAGGGGCGGCCTTTTCTCTATATTTTTATGTGAATGTGATATTGTGACAAAGTTTAACTTCCATCTTGGTCATGCTAGGACTTTTAATTTGGTCTCATTTTGAAGCTAATATATAGTTCTACATACCTGTACCCCTTTTTATGGGGTCACATTCTTTATTATTTGTCTCTATTGGGTTAATCTGACAGGGGCGGCCTTTTCTCTTTATTTTCATGGGAATGTGATATTGTGACAAAGTGTAACTTCCATTTAGGTCAAGCTAGGACTTTAAATTTGGTCTCATTTTGTAACTATTATAGAATACTATATGGGGTCACATTTCTTTTTTTTTTGTCTATTTTGGGTTAATCTGACAGGGGCGGCCTTTTCTCTATATTTTCATGGGAATGTGATATTGTGACAGAGTGTTACTTCCATCTAGGTCAAGCTAGGACTTTAAATTTGGTCTCATTTTGTAACTATTATATAGGACTACATTACTGTACACCCTTTTATGGGGTCACATTTCTTTATTTTTTGTCTATTTTGGGTTATTCTGACAGGGGCGGCCTTTTCTCTTTATTTTCATGGGAATGTGATATTGTGACAGAGTGTTACTTCCATCTAGGTCAAGCTAGGACTTTAAATTTGGTCTCATTTTGAAGCTATTATATAGTACTACATACCTGTACCCCCTTTCATGGGGTCACATTTCTTTATTTTTTGTCTATTTTGGGTCATACTGACAGGAGCTGCCTGTATACTATATTTTTATGTGAATGTGATATTGTGACAAAGTTTAACTTCCATCTAGGTCATGCTAGAACTTTAAATTTGGTTTCATTTTGAAGCTATTGCATAGTACTACATACCTGTACCCCCTTTTATGGGGTCACATTTCATACATGATTGTAAACTTTAACTTGTGTTTCAACTTTTGCGAAAGATATTGTCTGTATGATTGCTTTTACATGAACCGCTTTAATTAAAATGTAAGATCATGTTTACGGTAGTATGTGATTGTGTTAAAATGAGGAATTGTTGAATAAATCTTACTGAAATTTATTGTGAGTATTTTTTGTAAACCAAAGAAGACTCCAACCCATGGTTATTGTTCTCGGGACAGTAATTAGTATACTGAGCAAGCACATTATTATAGTAACAATTGATATTTAATCCAAATGTTTACTTAAATAAGGTGCTTTCTAATTGGATTGATAACTGATCTATTAGCAAGACAGATGATGAGATCAATGAAAAAAAACCACAGTGCATTGTGATGTTACAATCCACCCCAGTAAATGTGTTACAAAGCAGAAATTTATAATATTAAAGACAGAGATAAATGACACATCCTATCAAGTGACTGCATGCCTAGGTGTCCGACAAGGCCTGATATAATTATTGTCACCAAGGATACAAATTTGATTTCAATTGCTTTATTATGCATCTGCTTTAAATAGCAATACAATACAAAGCTCATTTCAATTGCTTTATTATGCATCTGCTATAAAAAGCAATACAATACAATACAAAGCTCATTTTCATCCGATGAATGAACCGTATATTAACAAAATCAAGTTATTGACCTAAAAATCAATAGCAGTGTTTAACCGAGAGCTTATTGGTCGATAGCTCTGTAATTCTTATGAAACATAAAAAATACAAGGACAGGTAACTCAAAGTACTATCGTTCGCTGTTATTGGTCGTTACGTTATCGGTCGCCAGTTTGTGCTTATTCAGAGAAAGACAAAAAAAAGAAATCCTGTTTACATTATTTAATGCCATAGACCAGTAATGTGCAATGTCTTCAACGGCTATGAACTCCTTCTTTTCAAGCGATTTAATCAACACCCAGAAGAATGGATAGAATGGAGGGAGAAACTGAAAGAAAGAGAAGAACAGGGAGTGGATAGTTTCGGGGTAAAATTATTATAAACAAAACAACAGAATTGTTTACTGTTTTATGATCATTGGTGGCATTTAAAAAAGTCATATGTAAATCCTGAGCTAGTCTTGCTAAATTTATCTTTCTGCATCTGTGAAACACGTCCACATTTGTATACTTGTTTCATGTCGTGACGTAAAGTCATAAGTGATGAAGATCCTATCTGTCCTATAAACTATCAAATTAGGATTTTCTTGAACCAAATTAAAAGAGACTTTTCTAAGCAACATATTCAGCCATTCAGATACTAAGCCTTAGGGCATGCCACTGATTGGATGAAAGGATATTTATACAGCGCAAATTTTCAGTTGTTTGTCCCTTTGTATCATGTCCTTGGGGTAATAGGACATTTCGGACCATGGACGTTTCGGACCAGACACTTCGGACCAGATTTTGGGACACTTCGGACCATATTTCGGGACATATCGGACCAGATTTTTGGACATTTCGGACCATGTGTTGGACATTTCGGACCATGAGTTAGACACTTCGGAACATTGTTTTGTCAGATTATATATATTTTGCAATATAAATGAAGAAAATTAAGGAAAAAAACAACAACAAAAACAATACAAGCAATGTTTTGGTGACACACGTTTGCAAACAATTTATTATAAATTATATACAAAAAGACATGACAAAATATAACTTTTTTTCAGTTTGTAAGCTATATAAGTTATGAAAATGATATAAATTTTAACACTGTTATATTGCAGCCTGGACATCAAATTTTTCACAAATAATTAATCCATTTGTTTGTTGTTTATTGTTGATTTAAACCGTACTTTAATCACATTTCCAATCAAACCAATCAATTTAAATATTTGTTGTCAAATTAGGTAAAAATTACAATACATACTTCATTAATTGTGTGAAAGGTGACACAAACGAGTTCTATTTAGCAATTTAAACGTGTGAAAAACTGCACTGACAAGGATGTCGTTGTTCTTTATTACCTGCCAGAACACAATTTAACTTGGTAAAAATTAACTCTAAATGTATATAAATCAATTTCAAAACACCCTGAAATAACAAATAATTATAATTATATTAAAAAGGAATAAATGGTCTGTTGAAAAAAAAGTTCTGGTCCGAAGTGTCCCCATCATGGTCCGAAATGACCATATCATGGTCCGAAATGACCATCTCATGGTCCGATATGTCCCAAAATCTGGTCCGAAATGACCAAAAAATCTGGTCCGAAGTGTCTGGTCCGAAACGTCCGTGGTCCGAAATGTCCGTAATTCGTCCTTGGGCTGTTCAAAAAGGAAACCGGATGTTTCAGCCACAAACCAAATTGGCCCCAGTGCAAAATTGGGTCCATTGACGTTTCGGCCCTTTTCCATGAGACATTTTGGCCCTACTAAAGTCTGAAGTATACTGCAATTAAAATATGACACTTTAATTCATAATTTATTATCTTTTTATCTCTTGAGCTAATTAGATATATGTTAAATAATTAATGTTTCTAAAGGTGTAACAAACAATTTAGGCACTTTAATCCTTGATTTATAAAACAAACTGCAAAAAAACCCTCTGGATTTAGAAAGTTAATAGCAGTAATTCCTTAGAAAACATAATCTATTGATCTTAATTAAACTATTTAGATAAACGTTAATATTTTTCACAAAATCTTTTCATTTTCATTTTTTAATAAACTAATTAACTGTTTACAACTTTATGCTAATTTGTAGTTAGTAATATCACAGAAAAATTCTAAAGTTTAAAAAGAAAAAAAAAAACAAAAAACAAACAAACGTTTTATTATAATTTTGATAATATTTTTCAATTATTATTGTTATTAGATAATAATAGATGCTAAATGTTCGGTTACACAATAAATTTAACTTACCAGAATCGGCCGAATTACCGGAATTGACCGGAATCAGCTGTGAATTACAGGAATCGACCTGTAACTTTGTTATTAGTAAATTTTTTATGTTTTTTCTTGCATTTTTATAAAATATAAACAATATCAATGATTTATAAAAAGATTTTTGTAATTTATCATAAAATCGCTTTTGATTAATTTAACAAGAGATCTAATATCGGCGAGCTACTGCCAAACTGCCCAAATCGGCGAGGCATGACCGGAATCGGTCTGTTAATTTGTAATTGATATGCTATTAATATTCCGATTTTAAATATAGAATAGACTTAAGCTTAATGGGGCCCATTTGGAGAAAGGCCGAAAAGTCTGTGGTTGAAACGTTTTGGGTAATTTGCGGCCGAAATGACTCGAAATCATTCAAAAATACTTGGACTCTTATCCATTTCTGGATTTCCCTTTTTTCCCCTCCAAAATCCAATTGCCACCACTTTATGTGCGCTTTCACTATTCCCTTTAAAGTGAAAAAAACACTGTCTGAGAGGTACTTTTCCAGGAGGTATTAAAAGTATTAACTGAAACCTCACATAGCCATTTGCAATTTTGGGTCATATTTGTAGGTCTCTTTTATAGGTCCATAATTTTATCTTATTTCAGGATGTCCATTAGACCCTTGAAATGACTCTTTGACTCTTCAAATTTCCTAAAGGCCTGATTTGACCCTCTAAATTTGGAGGGTCACATTTTGATAAAATTATAGGGGTTTGACCTTGTAATTGGCAAAACTTTAAGTCCATACTGGTCAAAATGACCTTCAGGTTTCCATTGCTAGTGGAACCCCTTCATATTTTTTACTTAATTGTTCCAGCTTTTCCAACTTATAATGCACATGGTACATGGAATAGTATTAATCAGTGATTCAAAATTTTAACAAATTTTAATACATCATGCAAAATTCAGAAAATGGATAGTTTCAGGTATGTTGACAACATAAAAAAAGAATTTGTATGTCGTTAAGGCTTTCTTTTATTATAAGATGTAAAGAATAAGCTGCTTTTTTCAGGATATTCCCAGGGAATTGTGGTACTTGTCAGTGGCATTACACCAACGCCCGAGGTACTTGTTACAACTAGTCAGGGATGAGATTGAAAAAGAAAAAAAGCATTATCTTCGGAGAACTGGAGGTATTCATATTGTTTAAATTCTTTCAGTTTTGTTCGAGCTTTATACTTTAAATTAGATTAATTGGCTTGCATTTTTTCATGCACAAAACATCTGTTGTTGAAAATTTGTGATATTCTCCAAAGTCAAAAATAAATGGAAAAAGAAAATTAATAATGTGAGTTACAAATTAGTCATTAATATTGTAACTCTTTTTTACCAATCCCTGGAAATAATTGAGATTTTACAAAAAATTATGAAATGTTAGTAATAGTGTCCACTGGACTTTTAGACTATTAAAGTTACTAATTCACTAAGGTCATGCAGCACAACGTCAATCATGATAGGGTAAAATTCATTTTAAATTACATTACATTTGACAAGGTTATCTAAAAACTAAACTTCTACAAAAGATTCAGTTGCCATCATTTTCTTTTATATACTTGAACTGTATTTTGGATTGTGTTGTTATATTTTCAGAAACCCTTCTCACCACATACATTAATATGAATCACTTCACAGAGTTTCATCTCGACAGTATCTTCAAGTATGGAGAAGACAACAAATTACCAAAAGAGGTTACAAATATGATATTATTGTTACTTTATCGTCTAAATTGTATATGTAGTAATGTAAGAACTGTAATGAGTATTTGGAGTCATTTGCTACAATTTTAGAAAATCCTGGCACAAGCTGACAATTATTTTAATATGTTCACGGTCTTAATCGCAATTTAAGCCGTGGTATGATATAATATACAGTTGTTGATGATAAAAAGTTAAATAACTATGTCTATGGTAATAACTTATTTTGTAAGTTTGGCCTGAAGATAGGTTAAATATCAGATTCGCTAGGTCCATAGACTTGGACATTCACAAAAATTCTTAATACAATAACTGTTTTATTATATGACCCGTAATGACCAAGATGAAATTCTTCATAAGATATATTTTCAAAGTTGTCTGATTTATATAAACTATTCTATTAATTATTGTTTATATTTTACAGATTTTCAAATGTGCCAATATTCGTTACCTTTCATTGAAGTTCAACTGTCTGTATGATATACCTCCGGATATAGGCCACCTCCAGAAGTTGAAATATCTTGCCCTCACAAACAACCGTCTACATGTGCAATCTATCCCTCACACATTAACTTTCTGTTCTAGTCTACGCACATTATTACTGGACAATAACTTACTGGATGCATTACCAGGCTTCCTCCTTCAGATGCCTAATATCGAGACCGTCCATCGGCATGGCAACCATAACTATTTCAAATCCACTTTTATGTGGTATCATACAGATGTATACTGCAGGATTATGCCGTTGACTGGAAATGTGCAGGTTTCGTGTAAAAAGCCATTCAAGCTATCATTCTGGGCCGCAAAAGCTTTGATAGGAGCTAAAAAGAACTTTTTTACAGATAAGAATGTTGCACCAGTTTTGAAGGACTATATTTGTGATGTGTATGAACAGTTCAATATTTGCCAGAACTGTACAACTGCCTGTCTCAATAATAAACCAGGTAAAGTATATTGTTACCATTTAATTACATACATATACAGTGATTTTTTAGCTGATACATGTATAACAAAGGCCTGTAAAGGGCCCCTTCCCAATGAAAAATTTCTTTAAAATCATGCACTTTTCCTCAAAATCTGCACTTACACCAGCCTTTTACATGTTCTTCCCAACTTAGTTATTTGAATGATAATTCTTCCCAAAATCTAGAGACTTAATAGGCCTCTTCCCAATTAAGTGAGAAAATCCACCAATATTTTTTCCAAAATAGGATTAAATAAAGAACAGTAAATTTAAATCATAGTTCACTAAATCGTCCTGTCAGTGTTGGTCTCTGTAACTAAGTGGTGAAAGTTTTTGACTGCTTATTATTGAGGGACAACAAACTGTACATAAATAGTTGTGCAGATCTCTTATGTTATTGGTCTCTGTGAAGAAAGTTAGTTTAATGAAAACAATAATGGATCTGTGGATTGACTTGAGGATACTAGTAGTGTTAAATTTTGTTATCAGTTGATTTGTGAAATATAAGTTGCAGGAAAATTAACAGTAGTATGATTAATATTATTAGTATAAAGATATCCTAACAGGTTGTATGCCCTAGTATAAACAGTTGAATGAAATTATTAACCAGACCACAAAGCTCAGATTATGGAGCAAACAATTGTTTAAACACAACCAGAATTATAGCTATTAAAACTTATAATGAGTTTTGATATAGCACAATTCCTTTCATTGAAGAAGAAAAGATACTGATTTAGCAGCCTGGTATATATATTATAGATTAAAATTGAGCCACGTCACGACAAAACCAACATAATGGTTTTGCGACCAGCATGGATTCAGACCAGCCTGCGCATCCGCACAGTCTGATCAGGATCCATGCTGTTTGCTATCAGTTTCTCTACTTGTAATAGGGTTGGTAAGCGAACAGCATGGATCCTGATCAGACTGCGCGGATGCGCAGGCTGGTCTGGATCCATGCTGGTCGCAAACCCATTATGTTGGTTTTGTCGTGACGCGGCTTATATTATCTGAAGTTAAAAACCTGACCTTAGAAACATTTGATATTACAATTGTCTATTTAACATGTATGACACTGTGTCATTTAAATTTAATAAGATTTGAACATTTATCAAAATGAAAAAAAATAGTTATTTTCATATTATTAGAAAAATGCATTACTTTTCATTTCAGGATTCAAGGTGATTACTTTTAAGAATCCATATTTAGGAAACACTTGTGTGCCTTTCCAGCACTGGGTGTGCTCATTTGAATGTGCCAAAGCTCTTGAAGTTCCTGCCAGACATGAACAGATAGCCAAGGCTCGGGAACTTGACTCAAAGTATGAACACTACGTGCACGAGTGTCAGCGTGCGTTTTATAGATGTAAACGGAAGCAGAAGGTATTGTCATGTTTGTCGCCAGATGATATAGAGAGTGTATCGGACTGTGATAGTTATATTTCGGAGCCAACGAGTCAGCTGACTGACGAGTCGGACACTACTGATGAATCCGAGTCGATTCAGACACAACCAAAGAACTGTATTATAATGTGATATTACTCTGTTATGAAAAACAAACCTAATGAAGTGTTAATATATATTTCTATTAAGGTATTAACACCAATAAGTGGAAGTGTGTACAATTTGGTAAATTTCGTCACTTTCGGTGTTGATCTGTTTATTTACAACACGACAAGATGTTTTGTTGGTATTGATTGTTTATTTTAAGTTTATCATCTATGGACAGTAACAAAAAATATGCCATTTTTTCTTAAGCAAATATTGGTTGCAATAACTTGTTTAAATTTTTTTCCAAAGCATAATTTTTTACAGGGTTAGGTATGGTATACATATATTATTATTGGAAACACTAGTTTCAATTTAAGATTCAGATGGGGAAATTTTGTTAATTTACACAGACTGCATAATATTATATTACAAAATAATTTATTAACATCATTTCCCTGTTACATATGCATTGGAAAATATAGATATTGGGATACTGTACTCTTCATTGTAGATGGTAGATTTTTGTTGCATTGATTAATAACAAAAGAGAATTTCATTCTCTCGACCATATATCAGTTTGCATTTATTTAATTATAATTTCAGTTTTTCCAGAGCATAGGTATTTGTTAGCCTCATTTCCCTGTTATATTTGCATTGGAAAATATAGATATTGGGATACTGTACTTTTGTAGATGGTAGATTTTTGTTGCATTGATTAATAACAAAAGAGAGTCTCATTCTCTTGACCATATATCAATATGCATTTATTTAGTTCCTTTTCAATTTTTTCAGAGCCAGTAACACATATTATCTGTTTTAATTATCATATTTGTGGTTATTTTTCATTTTTTTCATTCTTGCTTTATTTTCATACATTACAGAAATAAGAAAATTGTCATGGTGCGGCTCATATGTTTTGTGTAAAACCACTTCATGAAAATGGTATATTTAGTAATTATTTATATTATTCATTCTTGAAAATAATACATTTTTGTCATTATACAATGTTATATAAGCACAAGTTTAAAAAAATTAAAGAATTAAGTTCAGTAATAATTATTATGATTATCAATTGTTTTTAAAGTTTTTTGAAGAAATGTCTGGATAATTTATTTTGTTTTTTCTGTGAAGATATTGTATAGTTTCAAAGTACTAAAATCAAATTAGTGTCAAAAATGATAAAATTAACCAGTTCATTATTCCACTTGTCAGGTTCATAATTCCACATGTTAAGGAATGTTAAAAAAATACCTCTCAGAAATGTGAATGAATTGCTTTACTAATCAGCTGATATTATTTCTTTTATTAAAGTTGCATATTTCTATCACATCCTGTTCCTTTTTAGCTTGACTATTTTACACACCAGGGCGTCAGCGTTAGGCTTTGGCTCAGTTTTCGCATGTAAGTTGGTATCTCCAAGACCACTGAAGGGAATAGGTTGGCATTTTACATTATTTGAGAGCATGATAGAAGGTCACTATACATGCCCATAAGCCAATAACTCTAACATGGATTTTGACAGAATTAAGGCCCTTTTTGAACAATTTTACATTATCAAGACTCTTGTTTAACTACATGTATCCAGCTCTGAGAATAGTCAAGCAAGCTCTCCTACCTACTGCTCTTGTTTTTAAATGTAATAAATTAGTCAATTATGCTGCCATTTTCTGGCTTTATAATACATTATGTATTTGCTTGTGATAAAAAATTTGTTGTTATTTCATGTAGACTTGTATTTCATTCTATGTAATATGGTAAAGGGAACCTGTGTTAAACTTTTTTTTTAAAAATATAATGCTTCCCTTGAGTAGTTGAATACGAGTCTATCTGAAATAAGAACTTGTGTAATTATATATTTACAAAAGTGCTTTTGAATAGTGCGGAGTGTCAATTTAAAATTGACATAACAATTGACATAACTACATGTTTATCATGTTGCTCCATTCTTTTCATGTTACATGTACACCACTATATTATTGTCATGTAACTATATTATTGTCATGTTACTATATTATTGTCATGTTACATGTACATTACTATATTATTGTCATGTTATATGTACACTACCATATTATTGTCATGTTACATGTACACTACTATATTATTGTCATGTTACATGTATACTACTATATAATTGTCATGTTACATGTACACTACTATATTATTGTCATGTTACATGTACACTACTATATTATTGTCATGTTACTATATTATTGTCATGTTACATGTACACTACTATATTATTGTCATGTTACATGTACACTACTATATTATTGTCATGTTACTTTATTATTGTCATGTTACTATGTACACAACTATATTATTGTCATGTTACTATATTATTGTTCTTTTTATGTCATTCCATTCTTGTCTTGTTACTCCATTCTTTACTCCATTCTTTTCCTTTTACTCCATTCTTGTCCTGTTACTCCATTCTTTACTCCATTCTCTTACTGTTTACTCCATTTATGTCATGTTACTCCATTCTTTACCCCATTCTTGTCCTTTTACTCCATTTATGGCATGTTACTACATTCTTTACATGTTACATTCTTTTTATGTCATTCCATTCTTGTCCTGTTACTCCATACTTGTCTTGTTACTCTATTCTTTACTCCATTGATATCATGTTACTACAAAATTGTCATGTTACTATTTTTTATTTTCTAGTGATGTTCAAATGAAACCTAAAAACATATTGAACTTTTTGTAATAACAAGAAATCCTGAATAATTCATGTTTGAGGTTTATATTTTTAGGCTTTTCATTGATATACTTTTAGTCACATTTGGTATTAACAAAAATGTAGTGAGATATTAATTTTTGAATTTTGTTTTATTTATTATATGTTTGTCAAATATTTCATGATATTTTCTCTTGAAATCCAGTAAATATTTAAGTTACACATTAGAATTTTGTATTATGGTTTCGGGATAGAAAACAAATTTTATGTTTAGCAACTTATTATTAGTGCTCGCCAATTTTTTAAGCCAACCACCGACGAGGATTTTTCAAATTTTCAGGTTTCAAATCTTAATAGAACAGATTTTATATAAACTGGACGTTTTATATTATAAAACGCAAGTGGGCGGAGCTAAGTTTCGAAGAGCGCTAAAGTGCCATATACGCATGTGCAGAGATCTTGAAGTTTACTCCTCCTACTAATCAATATTTATGCATCATGTTTTTACAGTACACGCACATGTATATCGTCACTACGGCATATAATTAAAAAAAGAGGTTCATTGAAATGAAAACAGGCAAAATAACAGTTTTATTACTTATAAAACTTCAAGTCTATACCATTACTTAATACATCAGTGTACACATTTACTTATATTTCATTTTGACCTTATAAAATGCTATGAATCATGCAGGAACTCGCAAATTTGGCTCATTTATTTATATAATTATCAGTAAGATATATATTTTTTTTTGTTTTCCAAAACGTTTTCTTCCAATGTTTCACAATTGATAAAATTTCGAAATCTTCATTGAAGAATTGACCGAGGAGATCGAAATCACCGCTATCATTTTGCGCCTCCTTATTGTCTGATTTACCTAGACAGAATGGGGGAATTAGCTATCCCGAAAATGTGTACCGCTACCGTGTTGTTGTTGTTGTTGTTGTTGTTGTTTTAAGTTTATTTTAGCTCGGCGCCGGAAATTCCATATGTCCGAGATCTCAGCGTCCATGCCGGTCCACTCTGGTAGTCTCATCGGGGACGTCTTTTTCATGCCGATCTTCCTAAGTCCTGTTCTTCGTTCGGTGGAGGAAGGACAATACCGGAAAAGCATCAAGTTCCGTGACGGCTGCAAACAGGCGGTTGACATAAAACGGCTCTTGTTAGCGCCACCCTCCAGAGTTAGTCACGACAGGTCAACCAATCACCTCTGGTACTTAAGATGACTTGACCTTGACCTGCCGTGTGCCTTCTCCGCGACGTGCACGCCTCTGGAGGGATTTGGAGAAGTTGCCCGCTACCGTCTTCCAAACATGGTTTATAATATACACATTTATGCTATCGTGTGACGTCACGCAGTGTGTTGGGCGGAAAAAAATTGGGCGGAGCACTAAGCCAAACTAAGCTACAGTCGCTTCGCAAGCTCCGCTCCTTTTTAGCTTTCTTATTTACGAAGAACACCCAATATGCACTCTAACCTATACATAGTAGTTTAGCTCACCTGAGCACAAATTATTGACTTAAGTTTGATTGTTAACAAACAAGGCTCTTTTCCTCTTTATTATAAGAGAACTTTGCAAATCTTATAAAATAGGCGAGCAATGCTGAGCCACCATGGCCGTCTTTGTATATTTTGATGTATAAGCAGACATATACATTTTTGTCATCATTAAAATAACTTTGCTTTCAACCTTAAAGAAACAACTAAACAATTAAACGTAATTTGTTATTGTTATAAAATGTGTCTTTCTTAGCATAAGATTTATGTGTAAAATTGAGACTGTTGCATATGCATGAAAGAAAATAACTTAATATATGCATGTAGTTGTTTTTATTTACTTTTTTGCTAAAAAAACAAATTTCAAGCATGTTAACATACTTCTCTATTTTTGCCACTAGAATCCTACATAGGCATTTGGCTGCAGAAGACGGGTATTAATTTAAAGAGTCACCACTGAGATTTTTTGACATGACCGGATTGAAAATATTTCTCTGTGATTTGTGTACCAATTAATGCAAGTCTGGACCAATAATTTGTGTGCAAATTTTCAGATAATTTGGTCGCCCCCAGCAAAATTATTTTTATTGTGAAAAATAGCCCAGAATGAAGCGTTGAATTGCTTTCCACTGAAATCCGCGTGGGAATCACACAAAATTGATTTTGAATTTAATTCTGAGTACAGTCTAAACCCGATTATTCGAATTGCTGGCGACTGAAAATTTACTCCGAATAATCGATGGATTCGAATAGTCGAAATCCGAATATTGTGATAGACAAAAACTACTCCATTTTGGCAAATTATAGCAAAACTATCGCTTACAACACATTGTTTCGAGCAATTAATCGAGAAAAAATAGATATTTATGAAAAGATGCGTAAAAATAAGTTTTTATTGGTATTGAAAGCATAAATACTTGCATTTTATTCTACATTATGTATTCTTTGTTATCGCTTGCAAATTTTTCATTTTAAGTGCTTCACTTGATATTTGTAAGATTTTCAACTTTTATGTCTCATAGCAAGACGCTATTGTTACAAAAATGTCTCCATTGCATACAACAAAGCGATTTCTGGACTAATCTTTAGCTCATCTGAGCACGAATAGCACAGAGGTGTGCTTTTGTGATTGGTATTTTGTAAATTGTTAAACTTTATATTTTGTATCAAAAGAAAAGTGTGGTTTAAAGATAAAATCAGTCTCTTATCAGCCCAAAATTTAATTTTCTAAATTTATGTGTCTAAACTGTTAAATATTTAAATATTTAAATTGCTTATCAATCCAATATTTAAACATTTTAAGTCTTAAATAAGCAATGAATCACCATTCTTTCTGCAAGTGAAAGAACTGGATCCGATCTTCCTTTCAGATTATTAATAAGAAATATTTTCCTTGCTTAATATTTAATCTAATAAATGATGATAAATGAGTAGACGCTAGAAAAAGTGAAAAGGAAATATTTGTCGAAAAAAAACTTGGTGTAAATATCAATGAGAGAAAGAAACTTCAAGAATAAAGATATTACCGTCAGAGGTTTAGCTAACCATTAAGGCATTCCCTATTTGCCAGTCTTGTTCTCGAAGATATCCCTATCCCCCCCCCCCCGCCCGAACTAACAATTTTAATTTCATGCAAGTGAAAGTTGTCGACAGGGTTGCTTTCATTGTCGGAGGCATCAAAAACACGGAGCGAGATTCGAACTTTAAAAGACGGTAAAACAACACTCGGACCCCTGATCAAAAGAAACGATTTCCTGGCACAATAACCATAGGTTATTTTTATATTAACCGTGGTAGTAGTACACATACAAACATTCCAAAACGTTTACAGCCATGTGATTTATGAATCGAACAAGTGAAAAGTTAAACGTTTACGGCCATGTGGATTTATGAATCGAACAAGTGAAAAGTTAAACTTACTATATTTTATACCATGCAACATAAACACATTGCATTGTTACATGCAGTATTGCTTTCCGTGGCATTCTTAGGTATAAAATGCAAGCTTGATTTCACACCTCCATTCATCAGCTCACAAACAACCATGGAAAAATCACCCTAATACGGTAGTTATATGCCCTTCAATGATTAAGACATTACCCTTTATGTTATTGGGACACAATTTATCTCCGATAACAGAATAAGACCTTGTGTTCTTTTGGATTTGCTAAACAAAAAGGAACAGTTTTCCGTAAGAAAATGTGAAGAAGGAAACTTGGATATATTTTTGAAATCTTTTCGCTGTAATTTGAGAAGGTATCAAGGAACATCATTGCAAATAATGCGTCGGTTTATATTGATTAGTTTACTATTTCATGTATATTTAACTGTACAAATATACTCCGGGCTTTTATTAGGAAATGATTGGTGTCGCGAAATGGATAACAAGTCGTTGGTGTGCAATAATAAAATACCCGAAAATATTCCAGATGGGATAGAAAATGTTAAAATAATGAACATAGTACCAAAGGTAACGCATATAAAGAATGACAGTTTCTATGGAAACCAATGGGCACGTTTGAAAAGTCTTTGGATTGGAACGATGGATTATACAGAATCATATATACCGTGGTTAACACTATACAACAATACGTTCAGTAACCTATATGCACTGGAATCCCTTACTGTATATATGCCAGCACTTGAACGCATTGAACGTGACGCATTTCGAGGTCTTGAAAATTTAACTGAGGTGAGTTTTATGGCGCTTGACAGAACGTCAGTGTATTATTTATTTCTGGTTTTTGAGAACACTGAATCAATGCCAAACTTACAAACTTTTAGAGTTAATAAACTGAACATATTTTCAAAACCACCGATGACTTCAACATCACTGGACCGTAGGGTTTTTCAAGCTTTATCGTTGAGAAACATATCAGAAGTGCATATGACAGAATCATCTTTCGATGTCCTCGACTTCAAAGCCTCTTTGCTAGTATGCAATCAAATTCGATTTGTCAATGTTTCTCGCTCGACTATCATTAGAAATGTTAACAGAACGTCAACTCCTTGTTCGTCACTTGAAACTGTTCTCCTGACAAAGTTTCATAAGAAAAGTCAAACAACCCATCTTCATTATGAGAATGTTCGCTTAAAATGGAAGTTATATACCAAGTTTTATTATTTTAAAAAGGCAAAAAAGTTGAATATTGATTTTTGGTTCAAAGATGTTTCGACAATTAAAAACACCCATTTAACAATTGAAAGTCAAGCATTTCAACTGAAAGAGATATCCATGCAAAATAATAAATTAAACTACATCGACTTAGTTCTTAGAACCAATATATCTGTCAACTTAGAAAAAGTTGAGCTACAAAGTAATGGTATCAGATATCTTAATGGTGGGTCATTCATATCTACGCCTTTATTGAAAACGTTGAATTTGTCGGATAATCAGTTATTCCAAATGCAAAGTCGCAACACATCGTCGTTTACGAAAGTATTCTTTTATCTAACAAAACTGCAAGTTCTTGATATTTCTTGGAATGAACTTACTTACATACCATTCAACACCTTTGACGAAAATAGTGAATTGCACGAATTATATATTAGAAACAACAATATGGGCCAAATAGCTCTTAATTCAAGCTTCACGTTGTCGATAGTTGATTTGAGGTTTAACAAAATTAGCTCCCTGAACGTAGTCAGTCGTCAATGGTTTGACGAAAATTTCAGTTTTCATTTCAATACGTCTAAGTTTGATGTCAATATCCAAGATAATCCGTTACAGTGCTCCTGCAGGAATCAAGACTTCGTGCAATGGCTTGTACACACACCGTTGATAAGAAACTCGTCCTATAAATTAGCTTGCTTTGACCACGAACATGCTGAAATAACGCCTCAGTTCAGTAATGACTTAAAGGAAGAATGTTTGCGGCCTATAATTATTAGAAACATAGCGCTAACTTCTTCAGTTGGGTTTGTTGCAGTTTCTTTACTTACATCTGCTGTTTTTGTCGTCTGCCGTCGTCACAGAAAACGAATTCTTAAAAATCGAACAATTGATGAAATAATTGCCCTAGTTCAGGACGGAGCATATCAATTTGAATTTCCTGTGTTCGTGTCATACTGCAACGGTGATGTCGACTTGGTCATGGCACATATATATCAACCTCTAGTAAATCATTTTCGGGAAATATTTGACACACCAAGGGAGTTGGTATGTATTGGCGACCGCCATTTTACACCTGGACGTAGTATTTATCATGAAATTCATAGATGTCTGGAAAGCAGTGCAGTTATAATTACCGTTGTATCCAATGAATTTTGTCAGAGTCAATATTGTGTAAATGAACTGGAGCAGGCTTATGACTTGGGAAAGCCAATTTTGATGATTTTTGTGGACATGGTTGATGAAAATGAAATGACACCTATTATGAGACAATTATTCAAAAGGTACACGCGCGTGAATATGCGGATTATTGACGGCGAAGTTCAAATTGTGCCATGCTGGGACAGAATCTGCAGATCAATTCTCGAAATGTTGCCACGATAACTCAAATTTGAATCAGAAACATTTCTGATTTTAGAATGATACTTTATGACTTATGCGCAGCATTACACCGAAAAAAAATCCGTTTTCAAACTATTCTAAACATTGGACTGGAAAATTCGGAATGAAGAACTTTATTCTTTTTGTGTAGAACAAATATACGAGATAACTGAAGAAATTGTTTCTGAATCGAATTTAATCCAAATCTTATTTTAAACATTTGGACTGTTAGAAATAATTGCCAATATTTGGCATTTTCAATCTACGTTTTAACATTTTCGTGCCTTCATCATATCATTGACATCTATTCCAGTCATGTGTGTTTGCATATGACATGTGTGTGCTTGTTTTGTATTGTTCAAAACTTGTCATGTAAGTCTTTTAAGTAATTTCTTTATTATTTGGTGCGCCGTGTATGTCTCATCCTATCCATGAGAGCCAGTTACAAGTAACATATCAAGATACTCTTGCAATGTAACAAAACGAGATAACTAGATAAACAATTGAAGCTAGAAAGCCAAAAAATATATGTGGAGTCAGGTCAGACTGCAAGGATCAGGTGGCTAAGACCATGTAGGGGTATAAAACTGAAGTAACTCACGTTGACGGCTCGTTAACTATTGCGAATTTAATTCTTTTATTATGGAATTGTATCGGCTATACTTGTTTATTTGTATATCTTGTTTGATTTTTTCACGTTTTGCTTTTGATAAAACCGAAAATGTCAAATTTCTTTTAAAAATCAAATTAAATACATTGTTTCTTTTTTCTTTTATGCTGTTCTCTATCTTATTAAAATAAATTTTGCAATCTTGTTTAAGTTATATCAGCACTACGGGAAATGGATATCTCACATCAAATTTTATCTGTTTGGTATCATCATATCAATATATCATAGCTAATGTGTCAATTTTCGAAAATAAATAGCTTAAATAGATTTGTAGATTAATCTAAGGTGCAGATTATGCAAACTTCTTTATCATTAAATATCAATCTTGTGATTAAAGGATTTTTTAAGCGTTACTGGTAGACGGAGGTCTCAGGTTCAAGTTTTTTTTTTCAAGTCTCAATATTTTATTTTCAAACTAGGTCTATAAGGGCATAGTGTTATAAACAGAAAATTATATAAACAAATGTGCATTATAACAACTAAAACTATAAACAAACCTGGTAGAAAACTATTGTTGTTTGACAAGTACAAAGATTAGACTTGGAATACTATTGTATGGCAAATAAAGAAAGTGACTAGAAAGTGACAAAAATATTACAGTCACACCAGAAAGATCAGTGACAAAAATACTAATGCAGTGACACAGTGCCATGGCATAATTACACAATGGGGCATCTGAAGTTTTAAACTGTAACTACATCACGCAAATGCATGGCCAGCAATGATTATTGTCATAATGTGATTACAAATATGAATATTGTAAGGAAACCTTAAATAAAGAAAGACAATACTTGACTATAAAGGTTTCACTTCAAGTGTTGCTCCGTTGGCGACAACGTTTTCCGCGGCAAATTGGTCATCCTAATAATTTTATATCACAAAATGCATACAAAATCTGAAACAATTGTTTTACGCGTTACGTTGCAATCAGATTAAGATTAAGGATTTCAAGAATTTATACGAACACTTATTTGAAATAAGAACAACACTTATCACTGGAATAGTCAGGCTTTTTCATTCTCATGCAACTTTTTGTTTTTTTAAGGTTTCTGCGTTTCGGCATTGACATTGCTTTTCTATATAATATGTGCTGATATGAAGTCACAATGTTCTATATCAATCGTAAACATTTCCCTTGAAGTTCGTTTTGATTTAAAACCTAAGAAAATGCTTGAATATGTTTATATATGTTTCAAGTGTGTTTAATGATATCTCCCTTTTTGAACATGTAAAGTTCAATTACTTTGTCTTTTAATCTTTTTATATCTGTGCATACTATCTTAAATCAAATATAAATTGGAAAAAATGCGAGTTTTTCTTTTGTAATAAAAAAGTATATAGTGTATTTCTATACTGTAGAGACAGTTCAAACATTTCCTAGCTACTTTAATATTTTACATGCTCAATCAATGCTACGTGATCTCTGTATTATAATGAAGTACAGTAAATACATTAGATTATTATAATCATTAAAATTATTATAAATGTGCATGTTTGATTCTATTGACACTCCGTACTTTACAGCACCCATAATTATTTGGTCAAACCGTGAATGTATTTTTTTAATTGAAATGAAAAATGAATGAAGAAAAACCCCAAAGACTGACACAATTTAATGCCGTATTGATTGAAAGCATTTTGATAGCGGTTCCCATTTACTTAACCTTTTTCTTCAATGTTCAAATATTTCAATTCTAGTATAAAGTTTCGTAATCCTAACCGGAAGAAATTACAGTTTCATGAAAACTTCAACTTATTTGAGAAGATTAGGTTAATGATCACTGTTATCAAACTGCTACATATTTATCATACGCTGATTAAATAAAGACAGCCTATTAGGATAAAAAGAAGACATTAACAAAATTGATATGAATCTTTAATTTATGTCTGATTCGCAAAATAATTCATTGTGAAAGTTTCCTTGTACATGATTAGCCTTTAGTACACTGAGTGCTTGATCACAAGAGTTAGTTACATGATTTTATACATAGTTTCATTATCGGCTATGAAAAATCTAAACATTTAGAGATTTAGAGTAGATTTTTTAAGTCTTAGCTTGTGCTATTCACAACTTAATCAAACGGGACTTTGTAGTTTCCTTTTTGGTAAAGACTAAATCACCATATAACTCGTCTGTTGCTGTTTCAGCTCAAGAGAGCCAATACTAGTACCAAAACTGGTAACACTATAGTTCTAAGATTAACAGTAACAATATTTCCCAAAATTATGTTCAAACAACGTAATAGTTTTGTAAACGTCACTGATGCTGTTTCGAAAAAAATATTTTTAAAACTACTTTTTGCGTGTCATAATCTATATGTGTTTCATTTGTTTCAAACATTTTAAATTGTATTTATCTATCAAGAATATTTTTTATTAGAAGCGGTACAATAGTGTGTCGTGATGCGGTCAACGTGAGATGTCGGTAAGATAGTTAAGTCAAAAAACTTTTAAATGACTTCACTCGGATCAATATTTCCCAGAAGGTCGAGAACTATTCAGAGCTACTCAACCAATGGAGACAGAGAAACTGGCATACATGACTGTCTCCTATCGAAGTAGGAGTCCGAGGGTTCTGTTCACAATATGTGTGCTGACTGATTACAGCGATCGGATCCACTTGAGGACAATCAAGAGACTGAGTCAAGCTGCCGAGTGTGCGTCTAGCTGGCTGTGGAGAAGAGCTGGAAGCAGTCGACCTCCACACCGTAATACGGTCGGCCCACTCGCCAGCAGATATACATGGATAAGGGCCGAAACATCTATGACGGCGAGCACCATGCATGCTTATGATGGAGGTTGGTCAGCAATCTAATAGCACGACAGGCAGGAAATCTACAGGGATCTACATTAGGTGCATTCCAGATTTTATTATCTATTATTTATTAACTTATTTCAGTACAATCTCAAATAATCTCGCTCAATTTTGTTTACATAGGGTTTCGTTGCTGTTTGGAAGTCTACCTTTTTCAGTTTACAAAAGTCGTGATATGTGTAATTAACATAAATGTTGCTTATTATTTAATTCTATATTAAATGCCAATGGAATATTTACTCAAACAAGACCGGGTATTATGTGTAAGCTTTTATATATAGTGAAATTTCATTTCATTTATTCACGAGATGAAAAAAAAGATAAAACAATCCTACACAATAAAACAACGACACCTTTTTTTTACTAATGCGATACTGCGTTTTTAAACCATCATCTTAAACATTAAAACCCTCTATCCAAGATTTCAGACAACATTTTCCAATTTAGCCGTAACGATCAGTACAGTAATGTAAATGAGATGGCAATTCAGATATTAAGAACACTCATAAAAGAAAGCTTGCTTTGTTCAATAAAATAAATTATTTCAAACATTCTTTACATTTACATAGTTTTTATATTGGCTTTTTTCACATTGAATCTCGTGGAGTATAATTTATATATTATTTTCAGTGACAGATTTTGATTTTTTTTCTAAATTTTAAAAATTGTACCGAACCTACCGCTTGCGTTTATATTGTGATTGGTTTTGTGAACATACATTTGATTTACATATTAAAATGGGACATTTATTTTAGTATTGATACAAACAAAAAATATGACTGTTGTCAGTTGATAGCAAGTTCTACAAATAGATCTTATAATGTCTGGATTTACATTTTATCTGTTAACATGATTATGATTAAATGTGAGGAAGCACACTTGGACAAATGCAATAAACCTCTTATTATATTTCTCTTACTATGTACGATTATATAATTGTATATAGCAATGCTATACCAGTTGTATGCATAATACTAATACCGTAGTCAACGTATTTTCGACTCTGGCTTATAAATACAGAAGTAAATCAAAAGTAATTATGTGGCATAAAATCATTTTATTAAATGGTCATGTATTCGAGTAAAGTTTCAACGAATGTTTGACTAATTTTATCAAAGTACTAATTAAAAACGGAAAATATATACAATGTAGTTTAATTTGTTTCGAAAACATTTTCCAAGCTTACAAATATTTATCACCAACAATTTAGTTCAACTGAAACATCAAGTACGATTTTACATTAATATGTAATATAGTGAAGAATGTTTAAAACAGGATAATGCATTTTCTATTTTGGGTGTTTATTTAGAAAAAAGCTTTTCGACGTTTGCGCACTGAGACGGTCATTTAGTAGTTTAAGTCCTTTATCGACGAAGGATATGTTGTGCTGTTGTTTTGTTTTTGTTTGTTTGTTTTTGTTTTTTTAAATTATCAAGATTGTTCTTTATTTTGATGTATTGGTATTCTACATTTTTATTATCTTCTTTGCAGATGGAAAATATCAAAGTCTGATATGAATAACAAATGAATGTGCTAGTGTGAGTCTTGAATGTGCTCTCAAAATAGCACTCAAACAGTTTTAAATTATCACACTGCTGCGTTGTAACATGCTTGGTGATATCACCTATACTTTTTCGTTGGGTTGTTGTTGTTGTTATTTATCTTTTTTTGAAGGGGAAATTAGTTGTGGGGGAGTCAAAGCTAAGGTCCAGAAAGTCTTGATGTTATCACAGGAGCTTGAAATTCTATCAATAATCGCTCAAAAGTCCGATCTAAAAAAAAAATCCATACCTATATATAAAAAAAATATTTTATATATAGGTATGGATTTTTTTTTAGATCGGACTTTTGAGCGATTATTGATAGAATTTGAAGCTCCTGTGATGTTATGTTCTAAGATAGTTTAATGACATTGAACTCTTGATATTGAACTTTTTATTGACATGTATCAATTTTTTTTTTGTTAAATAAAACACCTAATTCATTGATTTAAACTAAACCCCATAGTAAGTAATTTATCAAACTGTAAACAATGTAGAACACATATTATATTTTCTACAATGCAATTCAATATTGCATGTGTTGGGTTCTTTTTGGCTAATTTGTACAATATAATTCAATAAGTAAGAAATATAGTGAAAATAAAAGGGAAATAACTGGAATTCCAGGTTTGATAATATGTCCGGTTTCAAATAATACCCAGTTAAGTGAATTATTTTGTACAAAAAAGCCAAAAAAGATCATAACCCATAAGTCTTGCATATTAAAGGTTTTTAAAAATAACACAAGTAACAGTTTATGAAAAAAGCGTTTATTAAAAATATAACTAGAGACGGTACTTATATTACAAAGCTGGATAGATATGGCACACAATCAGAAATGCAAGCTGAACATTGTGAGTGGCATGCAAAAAAATCCTCGTGAAATGTTTTATTTCTTGTATTTTGAATCCAATCCTTTGACGCGATATTTATTCGGATCTCCTCCGTTCCGTCCATGTCTGTTTGCTTCTTGATCAGCGTCTCTATCAGCACTACTGTCACCCTTGAGGGCACCGTAAACTTCGCGAAGATCACTGAAAATATAAATAATTTGTCCGTAAAATACAAATATTTACTTGAATGAAATCTAAATTAAAGTGTGTGTGTTTGTTTCCCCAGCGAATCTTTGGCTTGCATCCTTTAGAGCTCTCTCTAATAAGTAATTACGTGACAAATGATGATGTGTTAATTTATACGTTACTTCCTCATTTTTTTCTCACACAATAATTGACTTTCTTTGCTTTAAGATATGGGAGCTTAAATCAACAAGACAGTTAAAACATATTTTATCTAAATGTAAATGTTTATTTTTAATACTAATTGGTATACTACATTACTACACGTGGTCCAATTGTAAATTGAAGATGAGTTAAAATATACATGTATATTGTTTTAATATAAAGCTTGTGATGAACCTACCAAAATTCAATATTAAAAACAAAATTAAGAACCGTTTACATTAAAAAAGGAATATTTTTCTTTTTGACGCGCCTGTTAATAGTACACTATTTTGTTAAACTCAAATGACGCCAAGTTGTATGGAACACAAAATACTACTTTGTTTACATCTTATTACTATGATACTTTTTGTCAATTTATTTCATATTTATAGCTATAATATTCAGATAAATCCCAAAAACCATGGTTTAAAAATTATATAATTCACGATTGCCCTTTCTAAAGAAGTAAGATTTATTTGTTTCACAGATAAAATGTCTCACCATTCCAAACATGCCGCGCATCGGATCGCGTTCGTACCGCAAATACATGTATTACGATCGCACATTGTTAACCTATTTTAAGTTTTATAGAATACAAACTTGATACCTGATAACTCTTGCTGCATGTCGTCCGCCAGTTCCATGTTGTGCGGCATCATAATTTCCCCTTGAGTGAAAATACTTGTCAGCACCTATCGTGTTTGCTTCTTTCATGTCTCTGCAATAAATAAAATCATAGATGTATTTAAAGGTCATATTCTGTCATATAGCATATATACCTTTCCCGTTTTCTGGGCCATTTGTTTGGCGTTTGGCTGTGTACCTACTTATTAGGCGTAGTTAGTTTTCTACATCCATCAGTCACATTCGTGTCACGCAGATGGTGGTAATGCATCTAATTAAAATACTATTCTATCGAAATGTCGCTACATTCAGGCCATCTTCAACATAGCCTATAGGAAAATATATCTGTGAATCAATGGACCTTCGTGTCTGAGTTATTAAGGTCACTGATAACTTGCGCCGAGCCCCTGTGGGTTTGAACAGGGACTTTAGGTTCTATAATTTGAAGAAGCTATCCTGCAGTCTTATTGAATCAGTGGTTCTACTCAGGTACCCGTTCGTGCCTGAAATAATGCACTGATGGTCTCCTTAGGTCTTCCTCCACATTAAATGCTAGAAAGGTGCAATATAATCTTTACAGTGTCGGTTAGACTTAAAATCCCACAAGCCTGTGACTCTGAAACCTTGCAAAAAAACATATAATGCCGAGCGAAAAACATAAAGTCGTACAGCGCATACTTTTGCGTTGACTCTAACATTCGTGTACGGTTTTGACACAGTCATTTTCTCTCTCCGAAATCATATGTTTGAATTTTCAAATCCTGATATATACATTTTTGAGCATTTTATTGAATGGCCCTTTGAAAATATGAGTGCCATTTTAAAGTCACTTTATGCCGCTAATATATAAACACATGTATTCTTTACTCTCAGACCCTCATATTTATGGTTTTGAATAGCACCGAGAACTCGTAAAAATATATCTTCTTTTACCTGAAAAAATTACGCATAGAGAAATTGAGGTCTCTCTCCATCAGTAAAGATAATCACCAATCTACGTTTACATTGTCAATGACTGGAAAGCAGACAGTAAAACAAACTTAAACTATATGCTGCTTATAATTAGAAATAAACATAACGATAAAAAACAAATTTTCCAATAAAATACTAAAACAGGTTGTATAAATATAAGTAACTGTAAGAACAAACGAAATATTACTTGTATGCCTTGAGCATAGCTTTCGCTCCGTTGTTCAACCCAGAAACGTAATCGCTGGCCTTATATTTTACTTCCTTCGCCTTATCTTTTACTTTGGAGGCGTACTCGCTCGCTTTATTCTTTACCTCTTTCGCTTTATCCTTTGCAGTAGAAACATATTCTTTTGCCTTATTTTTCACCTCATGTGCCCTATCCTTTACTTTGGAGACGTACTCGCTCGCCTTATTCTTTATCTCTCTCGCTTTATCCTTTGCCCCGGAAACGAAATTGTTCACTTTATTCTTTACCCCGGAACCGTTATTACTCCCACTGTTCGTACTACTGCCTCTGCTGCTGCTGCTGCTGCTACGACGGCTTCCTCCCCACCAGGCTTCTGACTCCCCGATAACAACCAACAAAGCCACGAAGAGCAGCAACACGCTCGCTTTGCCGATTACCCTCATTCTTATGAACGTTTTCTAATTTCTAGTGATCGTGTAAACGTCAAGAAATCAAAATGAACAGTGACAGTTGATTTGCTTATATTGAGCTATATATTTGTTTGTGCGCGCACACGTGTAACTGGCGATAAGGAAAACAGTTTAAGAAGGCTTGAAATTACAATTAAGCATTTTCTATACATGTACGTCCAATCAAGTTTGTTATTCTTAATTTACTGACTTGTTGTGCAAGATATGTACTTTAAACTTCCTAATCCAGACAATGTTTCTTAAAATCTGATTTATCCTTATAGCACAAAATAAAACCAATAAAAACTGCACACGGAGATATACATTAACGTAGAAGAGAGCATTTACTGATAGAATCACGGGAGCAGACACCGTTATTGCGCGTTTTTTTCAATATTCGTGACTCGGGGCGTCCTATTACTGAAATGACGAGACCTGGTTATTTCAATGTCTATTGACATAGCACTAGGAAGGGGAAAGCCTGACAAAATGCTTTATAATTAAAAACACCAGAAAACAAAAGGTATAATTAATGAATTGTTAGACATTTTACACACAAAGTTACTGGTACCTTTCTTTATTTCCCTTTTTTATAAGTTGTATACTGTATCAATGTGAAAAATGCAAAAGAACAAGTAACTATAGTACTTAACAATGCTATGAAACAGATAACACTATGTCAGTAAACATTAAAATAGATGTTTCCAATGCACATTGTTTCGCTTACCTATTGAACTTTGGTAGATATATCCTCCAAATTTTGATTTTGTTGATTTTGAGATATTTTCTGAAGTCTGTTAGATATAGAAAGTGAGACGTTCAAAAGTCTGAGAACAATTTAACATCTCCAGGTCTGCTCCAAACTGTATGCTCCTGTTTTAAATTTTGAAAACTCAGTAACAGGGTCCAGTACTGACTTTATTTAAAAGTGTAAGTTGTTGAAGCCATTTTATAACAGACTGGTACTACATGCACATCTGATAAAAATATTTATTTTAGCTTATTGTAACATTTCATCTCCTTACTAAACTTGAAACCACGGCTAAAACCTTGCTGCAGTGCACGATTTTATAGCCTAGCATGGGTTTGTAAATTGTTTTTTTTTATTTTTTATTTTATTTCGTCTACGTCAACTAAAATTAATGTTAATTTCAAATTATTCATAAATCATTAGTAATGAAGATTCCTCATGAAATAATTTTAAAATCAAAGCACACTTGATGAGTGTTACTTTAAATTTGACCGTGATGCTTCTTCCTTGTAGTCAAGTCGACCTCATCATATTGGTGGTCTTTAACGAGGAAGTTGATATGTTGAAAGCTTTCCATGCAATTGGCTACTTATGAGAATGATGCAAATAGAGGTTGTAAAATGAAATGCTCTTTCATGTTTTAGATTTCATGTTTTAGATAAAACAAACCTAAAATAGAGAAAAACGAAAACCTTAAAGAATGTCCAAAGTAAGTAATGGGAACAAATTAAGTAATTTTTGTTTGATAAATATGATATTTTTCAATTCCATAGTTTAAATATAGGAGTCGTTTTGGCTTATGTATACCATATATTTCACTTGTAAATGAACGTTGTACAACAGTATATTACAATTTATGTTTCATTAAAAAGCGTTTATTACAGAGTTGGCAAAATATGTCACTATCAAAACATACGAGTAAACATTGCATATTTCGTAAGTGGGTAGCAAAAACGCGTTTTGGATGTTTTATTTTTTGTACTTTTTGGGCAGTCCTTCCGGACGATACTTATTCGGATCTCCACCGTTACGGCCATGCTTATTGGCATTTTGATCAGCTGCTATGTCCGCGGCACTATCACCCTTGATTAATCCATAAACTTCACGGAGGTCACTGAAAATTATACATTTATATTTTCTTGAAATTATACAATGTATAAACACTTACATGTGACATACTGATATGAAATAAGATTTTAATATTTCATACCATTAATAAACATATACAATGTAAATGTTTCTATCGGGAATATTGATAAATGTTTTAAATCTTGAATGCATATCTTTTGTCAAGCGGTCATGGATTTAACGACTATCAAAAAACAACCAAATCTCTAAGCTTAAAATTGAACAAAACGTTTTCCCAAAAAGTGATCCGTTGAAGTAACTGGATCAAATGACCAAGTGTCTAACAGAGATAAATAGGCCCTTATTCATCCAGTCTTGACCATACACCAGTATTAATCTAAATTATATTTATAAATGACCTTAAAGTTCATACATTGTCAAATATGAAAAGCTAAAATACACGAAGATACGATTGTCTTTTAATGTTATTTCAATATCAAGCGAAGAAATAAATTGAACTGCAAATCTTATGTAACTGCAAATATTGCAAGAAGTGCTTATAGTTTATGTGGCTCGTGTATTTTTTTCTTCTTTTTTGTTTCAGCCAAATTGTTCTACATCTGGTACACCTCTAATAAACCAGTTCGTTTAAATTACTTCCTTTTTTGTCTCACAATTATTGATGTTTATTGTGATAAGTATGGTAGTGAGGATATTAGTTGAAAATGCTTTTACCTATAGGACTTTTTAAATATTACTTTTATACTAAATCTTGTTCCCCTTTTTTTAAACATTATTTATGTATTTCTCAGACCCCTCGTCGAAAGAAAAGTGTTTCATTTTAATCATATAATTATTATAGGTATTTATTGACTAAAATGCGAAATTTAATAATAAAAGTGGTACTTAATATTTTCAAAGTCTAATTGTATCAAAACTACACGTCAAAAGTATTTTTACAAGATAAATCTATATACTTTTAAGAAAATTTAGGCGGACACTCAAGACAGCCTCCCATTTTGGTTAGTTTTAGGCATATTTTGAATAAGCCTCTATAAGTAGCAAAATTGTCAAACAAGCTTTTAAATGAGTGGGGTAGGATAAAATTCTTATACATATTTTAAACATACCTGATGACCTTTGCCGCATGTCGTCCGCCAGTTCCATGTTTAGCAGCATCTGCATTTCCCCTTGCGTGAAAGTACTTATCAGAATTTTTCCAGTTTGCTTCTTTCATGTCACTGTAATACATAGAGTTATAGATGTATTTTTATTTGATAAAACATTCTTATTGTATCATAATTTTGTCTGATTCTGAACCGATTTATAGCTATGTCTCGATAATTGTCACAAATTGTCATGCAGATGGCGTTGGCGGATGAAATTATTTCAACGCGTTGCCCCATGATGCCAAGTAGTCTACTTAAACGTACTGTATTAGCAAACATACCCGTATGATGCCAAGTGAAAACATTGAGATTTGAAATTTGTCTTTTGACGTTTTGTCTCGATATATGCAAGTAACATAAACTCTAATCCCCTTTCAAAATTCAAAAGATTTTATTTGGTTCCACCGCTTGTTTTCTCGTTTAGGGCAAACGCATTTTATTACATAACATTCTTTTACGCCACTCGTCATGGAATGGCATGAAAGTGTCACACTGAAAGTTCTAAAATAATCGCCGTATGAACAAATCTGCTGATGTTTCTAAATTAAAATTTTCCTCATTTTCATGTTTATATGTTTAATACTGCTTAAGCCGGTGCTAGATGGCGTGGACGGTATCTTGCAATTACAACTGCCTTCCATGAACAGGCTTATTTAAACCGAGCCTGCAACATTTTCAAAGCAATATGCTCTTGCGTTTACAATTTAAACACTACACGTTTTGCCCACATATATCAGTTTGACATAAAACAATAAGTGACATTTAATTCACTTTATACGAATTCAGGAACAAATGTATACCAGACCCTTATATTATCCGTTATATTAATTTGTTCGAATTCACTAAAGAGTAAAAGTGCTTTTGACTGCAGAAGTCTTCATTCGATTCCCTGTTGCATTGTAGATGTGACTGGTAAAAACGATCAAAAATATTTTACATAAAATCATTGTTAAGCTGCATTTTACTAGAACAAAACATTATATTAAATCAAATTTTATTACATACTACACAACAGCTAGGACTATGAATGTAAGATAAGTTAATTTACATAGAATGAAATATTACTTGTAAGCCCTGTGCATTTCCTTCGCCCCATTTATTACACCAGAAGCATAATCTTTTGCTTCTTGCCATGTGCTCCTACTGTTTTGGCTGCTAATGTCACGACCGCCTTCTCCCCATGCGTCCAACTGTTCGGCAACAGCTGACAAAGTCACGAAAAGCAGCAATATAAGTGTCATCTCAATCACGCTCATTCTAATAAACATTTTTCCTGCGAAGATGTTGGTGTCAAGAAACTAAAAGGAACAATATCGATTAATTAGTTTATTTTCATCGTGGCATATTTGCATATAAACAGTTTAGCAATTGATTATCACATTAATATTTTACTCGCAAGTAAGATATCCTGCAAATAAAGTAAAGCATTAATTGTAAATAAGATAGATTATATATTTCATTAAATACATTTTTTCCTCTTACATAATTAAATGACGTATTAATTTTATTTTTCCGGAATTCAAAATTAATTGCATTTTGATGAATTAGTAAACCTTTCAAGATGCAATTTGCTATGAATGAGTGATATTAACATTGGATTAGAAAATAATACCCTAAGGACACATTAAATAATTATAAACAAAAGATGATCAAGGTTGAAATGTGAATAAAAGTATTTTGTCGAAGATTTGATAAATTACGACGTAAATTTTGTTTGTTTGTTTGTTTGTTTCATTTAACGCCTTTTCCCAACAGTATTTCAGTCATATAGGCGGGTAGTTTCCTACCCATCGTTCCTGGAGAGTTACACCAATACTAGACTACCTTCCTCCGCGCTAAACTACCAAAGCATCTCCCGGGGATTGTACCCACGCCAGAGAGGTAACTGGATTAGAAGTCATCGACTCTAACCCCTCGACCACGGAGGTGGTTTTACGACGTAAATGCAGTACACAAATGATGTTATTATAAACAAAATGATCTTCTTGTTACATTTTACTGGTCCTTCGGGATCATTTATGCAAACACAATTGAGTGCTGAGAATTGTGTACCGCTCAAGCCGGTGCTAAAGGGCGTGAGGGATGTTGCGCTATTCATTATCCCTTTTTGTACAGACTCAATCAAAGCGAGTCTGCAATTCTCTTCTAATTTTGATGTGATTAATGCGTCCGAGGGATCACTTTGTTTCCAGATTTTTATACTTCACAACAGCTGGTGTCAAGTGCTGTGTGGCAGCTGTAAAAAGTTGCCCCATACTTCACTTCAGTGTTGTAATATTTTTCTGGTCCTTCGGGATCATTGATGCTTCCAAAGGAATCACGTTGTTTCCAGATTTTTTTATGTAATAATAGATTTTGTTGGAACTCTTGTTTTATGAGTTAAAATTATTACCTTATGTGGTCAGAATATAAAAATCTATGTAGAGAGTGATCCCTCGGAGGCATTAATAACAACAAAATTGCCTGAAATTACATGAAATGACATTAAACATATAGTTAAACTGTTAAAAATCATATTCAAATTGTAAACTTGTTAAGGTTTCTATCAATCTATATAAGTCTTATTGCATATCCTTAACTTTGTTAATTGTTCAACATATGTTCATACATTGAATGAATTTGTTTACCAATAATTATTTTTCTAACAATTTATACAATTTTAAAGTTATTGTTAATTGCACATCAACCTCAAACGTTTCGAGAGGTTAAACCCTTCTTGATCGAAGAGTTTGCAGTTTATTTTCTTAATCAACATATTATTCTTCATTTTTCCTACGCTATGTTTTTTTTTACAAATTGATTTCCAAAACAGATAGCTTTCCACAGTTATTTTATTTGATCAAACAATTATAGTTAAACTGTTACAATCATGTTCAAATTGTAAACTTGTTATGGTTTCTAGCCATCTATATCGTATATGATTTTAAAATTATTCTTTCTGATGAATGCTTCAACTGTAACATTTTCGAATTGTAAAAAAACTATGGCTTCTATCAATAGATATAATCTAAAAGATAATCTTTATAATAAATGTTTCGTATCATTCAAAAATATAGTTATACTGTTATAATTATCATACAATTGTAAAATGTCTGTACCTGTTTTCTCCTTCAAATGTTTATTCCTTTTGAATTGAACGCTAAATAATTAACTTTAACTATTCATATTTTGAAATGTCTTGCATGTTTACTTGCCTTGGGGATATTGTCTTGTAATGCACAAAATCTGTATTGTCATCCAATTAACAATTTTATTAGTTGTCAAAAGCCATAAAATTTAAAGTAATAAAATGCATCATGTTATTTACAGAATAACATAATTTTTTTAGACATTAAATGTTAAAACATTCAAAGCCATATTAAATAAGTTTAATGCATACATATACATGTTATTTCAATATATGCGTGTCTAATTTATATGTAAATCATGACTAAAGGATGCTCTGTCTTAGACTTTTTTGTTGGTAATAGCAACTTAAACAATTTCACACATTTTATATTGATACGTTGCTCTGATTTAGAAACACTTTTTGTGTAAGATGATTTGATAAAATCTATTAATTTTCTTCATTTGAAACTAACTTTCTCAACCAATTACAAGAACAAGGTTTAATAACTCGGATTCCTAAACCAAATAAAAAATTATTAATATCGTCAAACTGGCGGCTTAAAAGACATCATTTTTGCCACGATTTAATGATAATATATTGCCAATGGTTGGGATTCTTTTAGTCAATTAGCCAAGGATCGAGGGTTCAAATTCGTCGCTCAGGTCATGATTATGTTTCCTCATATGACACCAGTACTTGTTTATTGCAGGAAGCGGAATTGAAAATGGTTAAAAAGCTACAATATTTTTCCATAATTGAGCATAAATATAATTCATGAATTGTTTTCTTTCATTCTTTTTTATCGTGGAATCTGATGTTGGCTCATATTTAATATCCATTTAATTCTCTCTAATGAAAAAAAAGGCTAACTCATTTGAAATGTGATTATATGTTGTAACATCTGAAACAAAATATATTAGCCAGTACAAGTAAATAAAAACAAATAGCAAAAACAAACAAAAAAGCCCATAACACTCGTGGAACCTACATCGATTATTAAAGGAGCCTAAACTTTGGTTTTGAAAAAAAAAACACATACAATATAATAATATTTCTCAACAAATTATGTATCAGTCTTCCTTTTCTGTATTCCATGTCCATTAATACTATGTATTCATGTCAAGTATATAATTCTAATTCCAGAAGAAAATTCATTTATGAAAATTTATACAAATTTTGAAAAAGCCCAAACAGACTTATTTTTCAGATTTTTAAGACTTTTGTGTGGAACCTATATCATATTTTAGTGACTTTTGCTAATCATTGACCCGTGTCAGTGTTGTAGAAGTCCGAATAACTTATAACAATGTTAGCGTTTATTTCTACTCCCGGGTAGCTAAAATAAACTCAATCTCAGCGCTACACTTACGATTGTACATAAAATCAAAATACTCAAGAAATAACTTTCAATTGAAACACAATTGACGATTGCTTCCTGGTGATTCTTCCCTGTAGTCAAGTCAACCTCATCATAAAAGTTTTTTTTTCCAAAACTAAGATCATGGAAGTTACGGTGTTAAAATCCTTTCATATAAGTGACTACTTAAACTTGAGACTGATGCAAGAACGGTTTACAAAATGAAAAAAAAAAAAAAGAAAAATAACAAAGATATTTCTTGCACATATCGATGCATCATCTTTTAAATGTACAACTTAGTCTGAAATTTCTATTTCAATACAAAAGTTAGTAATTAATATCTGAATACAGAACCAAAGTGTTAAAAATGAAGAATATTTAATTCATTTTGCAATGCAGTTCATTATTCTACATGCAGGATACTTTCCGGCATATGTGTACTATATAATTTACTTTCATCTGATATAGAACAACAATTGCGTTTTATTAGCTCACCTGAGCTAGCTCAGATCGTTATATGTCCGTCGTCTGTCGTCTGTCGTCCGTTCGTTAACACTCTAGCGGTCACATTTTTGCCTCAATCATCATCAAACTTTGTCAGGATGCTTATCTAGTTAATAGCTCGAATGAGTTAGAACATTGGTCGTCTCGGATGAAAAACTAGGTCACAGGAGATAAAAAGAAAAACCTTGTTAACACTCTAGCGATCACATTTTTGCCTCAATCATCATCAAACTTTGTCAGGATGCTTATCTAGCTGATAGCTCGGATGAGTTCGAACATGGGTCATTTCGGATGAAAAACTAGGTCACCGAAGCTAAAAATAGAAAAACCTTGTTAACACTCTTGCGGTCACATTTTGCCTCAATCATCATCAAACTTTGTCAGAATGCTTGTCTAGGTGATAGCTCGGATGAGTTCGAACATGGGTCATCTCACATGAAAAACTAGGTCACCAGAGCTAAAAATAAAAAAAAAATCTTGTTAACACTTTAGTGGCTACAGTTTTGATCCAAGTAACCTGGAAATTGGTCTGAAAGTTTGTTTTGGTGATTTCTAGGTCAATTTCGAATATAGATCACCTGGGTAAAAAACTAGGTCACACTGCTCAAATATGGATTCACACTCTTGAAGTCACATGAAACCTGGTCAGAATGCATGTCTAGGTAATTGTTTTGATGAGTTCGATGGGTCAGGTGAGTGATCTAGGGCCATCAAGGCCATCTTGTTTAGGTAAAGCATACAGATAACAGATGTTTTTCAAGAAGCAGCAAAACACTTGGAATGTCAATTACTCTCATTCTTAAGATACAAAAATGACATATAACAATTAATTAGTTAGTTTTCGATGTTATAAGAGTAATCGATGACTAATGAAACACTTCAAAATGGTCGAAATGACAATTTAGCATGTTTATTATGTCCAATCAAATATGTTTATTTTATCTTCCTGGCTTGTAGAACGCATTTGTGCATTTTGAATTTCCTGATAAACATAATATTGTTCGGAATCTCATTTGTCAGATTTATAATTACATAATATAACCAATAAAAAGAAGACTTATCGATATGTAAACAAAAGTGTGTGATTATCAGACGTCCGGCTATCCAAATCTGACCCGTATTGGCAAGATGCTTTTATAGATATTTGATTACTTTTTTCAAACACATATATCACAGTATAAGCGTTGACTCGTTTTTTTTCACCATGCCTATAACAATTTTCTTATCAATTTTTATACATCAATTTCTATGTTCTTTTTCCAAGGTAAGTGAATAAGTTATTTGTCAAAGAATATAAAACTAAAAGTCTACACTCCAGATTGACACATTTGAAGTACTGATCATTTTAGACAAACCTTTTAAAAGACTACTGACTGAATAGCGAACAGTTCAGATAATGATGAGACGATACGGATGTCTTTCTTGTTCTTGGTTTGCACTGGTCGAACGGTAGGGTATAATCTGTTACCACAAGCAATCTAAGAGTTTAACCCAAAAATGTTTTTATTCTTAAAACTCGAACGTTTTTATTTTTTGTTACTCCGTTACAGTTTCCGAAAAGGTATTCATTGCCCATGATTACAGCTGTATATATTCACCTTTTGTTTGCGGGTCAAAATTCAAGCAATATTATGTATTGTAGACAAAGTACGTTTTGCAACTTTGATGAGTAATTATTTCACCTTCAATGCTGCTATATTTGCGTTATAAGTCTCTAAACCTGCTCTTAATAAATTACACATTATAAAGCAAACATTTTCAATTTCTTCAGAGGAAAATTTGCATTTATTTCATAGACTAAAGGTGACTTTAAGATTTTAATTTAACCACGAAAAATCAATTTTAAAGTCATGTTTCTTTCTTCCTTTTTAAGTTTTAAGCTTTGACAACAGTCATTAAGATGATTCAGAATCGTTAAATTGTTTTGTCACCAATAGGATTCATGACAGATAAAAGGACTTATCAAGTACCAAAAGTGGTTTGTAAAAACACATTTGAAAAATACAACATAACACTTGTTTGCAATATGTTTTTTGTTTTTCCTTGGACTTTTGAGTAGATATCGCTCTACGGTATTCTCATGTTAAATACCCGACATTAATTGGATGTTTTTTTCTTGCTTTTAATTTACTGAGTGAAAACGTTTTCGTAAATAAAAACGGCACTTTTATGTTTGTGATTATGACATATGTACAGGGTCATCTGATGTCTTTTCATGTTTAATTTGTAATAAAATGTTCATATTTAAATTAGAGTACATTATGTCCATCACATAGGAGAAGATGTTCTGCCCATATTTTCTTATTTCCAAATTATTTTCCATTTTTGCTCTAAATAAAATTTTCTCTGCCTTTCAGTTGTATTGTTTCTACTGTTATTTTGTATCTTTTTTGTTGTTGCTTTTATCAACACAATTAATCAGCTGTTAATCTTAATTCATTATATTAGATAAATTCGTATCAATTAAGGTTCGCATTAACAATGCTGTAACTGGTTCAACTAAAATGAAACCGTGCTGCAATGTTTTATTTATATTTATTTTACGAACTCTAAGTTGAACATGCTTGTTTTTGTCGTCACGATTTAATGACCATATTTTTTCAAGGGTTATGATTTTTTTGTAGTGTCTGTCTCTCAGCTTAAGATCGTGAGTTTGAACCCTACTTGGGTCATGGCCATGTTTCCTGTGTTACACCAGTTCTTGTTAATTTAGGAAGCGGCCATGATAATGGTAAAATAAGCTACAGGATTTCTCCATAATATCCATAATCGACCATGAGGACGGTCGTTATGAAGATATGTGTACATTTTTATGATGACCGAAAATCGGCATTTTTTCAACAATTTCTTTTAATATTGTATATATATTTACATAAATATCAGGTTTATTTGTTTATAGCGGGTAACATTTTTGTTTTTACTTCTTATTTTTAAATTTAGTTTTAAATCAGTTGTATTCAAAAAAAAGTTTATGTTAGTATTTAATTATAAATTCAATGTGATGACCCAGGCAGCGCGAATGAATTCAATCTAAGAGTTACACTTAAGGCTGTCTTTAGCATAAAATTCCTCAGGAAACAACTTTCACTTTAAATGATACTTTAAATTTCACCCTGGTGATTCTTTCTTGTAGTAAGGTCGACCTCATTTAATTGGTGTGTTTTTAATTGGTCAAGGAAATTAACTATGGTCAAGGAAGTTATAATGTTGAAATCAAATGACATGTGTACAGTTATCTAAACTTTTATACCAAATAAGTAATGTATGTTCTGCAACGCAAATCATTATTTCATATACAGGAATATTTTCGGCTTATGTTTACTATAAACTTCAGTTGCATATGAATTAAAGGATATATTACAGGTAACGTTTCATGAAAAACACTTTTATTCTAAGTAAAGCATACAAACAGATCAGATAATAGATGTATTACAGAGATTGCAAAATATTGCACATAGTCAAAATATACAAGTAAACAGTGCATACGATGTGAGTATGGTCTTTAAAGACGTTTTATTTCTTGTACTTTTTTGGTAGTCCTTTGGGACGATATTTATTCGGATCTCCTCCGTTACGTCCATGCTCATTGGCTCTTTGATCAGCTGCTCTGTCCGCGGCGCTGTCACCCTTGAAAAATCCATAAGCTTCACGAGCATCACTGAAAATTATGCATTTTTATTTTTGTGAAATTATACTCGTATATATTCACATATTACATATTGATACGAAAAATTATGATTTCAAAAGAATTAATATCATGGCGACATATGTGTTTGTCTAAATGATTTCAATTTTGAAATTGTTCTCCTGACAAGTTTAAAGTGGACATTACTTGAACGATTGTAAAAATAATTTATCTCTTTACATGAGTAAAAAAATCCCGAAAAAAATTGAGTCCGTTTCAACCTTTGAGCAGCTGGACACATTCAACTGATCAATGCTCACACAGTGAAAAAGGTTCTTAATTATCCAATTTTGACATCGACCATGCACTAGTGTTAAGCCAAATGTTATATATTAATGACCTAAAAGCTTATATATTGTCAAAAATGAAAAACTAAAATTGTAACTAGATACGATTGTCTTAAATATATTAAGCGAAAAAATAAATTGAACTGAAAATATTGCTTAAAGTTAAGGCGGCACATCTTGTTTTCTTTGTTGCAGCGAAACAGGTTCGCATCCAGTAACCTCTAATAAACCAATTCGATTAATGTTTCTCACAATTATTGATGATCATTGCGATAAGATGATCCAAAAATGTAATAAGTATAGAAGTAAAGATCATCAATACAGTTAAACATGCTTTTATCTAGACGGTTATTTAAATACTACCCCTTTCGTCTTTAAACATTATTTAGGTATTTCTCAGACCCGTCATGGACAGAGGGTGTTTCACTTTAATTATATATTTATTATGGACTAAAAATGACAAATATTGCAAATATGGTACTTGATAATTTCAAAGGCAGGCTTATGAAAAAAAAATTCACGATCAAAGTAATTTTGACGAGATAAATCAATAAACTTTTAAGAAAATTTAAGCATTTGAAGACAGCCTCTCATTTTGGTAAATTTTAGGGATATTTTGATTTAGCCTCTTAAAGTAACAAAATGGTCAAACAACATTACCAATACTTTATTCGGAAAACATAAATGCCTTGTACGATTTCTATGATTCAAATGGTGACTTGCATGGAATCCATGATTCAAAAGTTGTCTTGCACGAAAATCATCTTTCGAAATGTGTATTGTACGAAATTCACTGCTCCAACTCAGTCGTGCATCGCTATAACATTATAATTATGTACAGTGCTCAATCAGTATGATCTTTTTATAAGCTGTGTTACTCTCAAGTTCGTATTACACAGATAAGTAGTAAAAGTGAGAGTATTTTAGAGAATACATTTATAAGTGTTATAAGATTCAAGAGTACCTGATGAACTTCGCCGCATGTCTCCCACCAGTTCCATGTGTAGCGGCATCAGCATTTCCCCTTGCGTGAAAGTACTTATCAGAGTTTTTCCAGTTTGCTTCTTTCATGTCACTGTAAAAATAGAATCATTAATGTATTTTTGATTTGATAACTAACTGAATCCATTTTCATACTTATTATATAAGATTTTGTCTTGTCTATAGCAGATAACTTCCCGTTCTCTGAACCGATTTATGGCTGTGCCTCGACCTACTGTAATACTTGATATGATCTATTTGCGAAATTGGTGCAACAGTCACAAATTTGTCACGAAGATGGCGTTGGCGGATATAATCATATCACCGAAATGCTCCATAATTCCATGCAGTTGACTTAAACGTACCGGGTTTTTTTGGCAAACGTGCCTATGAATCTGTCCAAATGCAGATGTAGTGTCAAGTGAAAATAGTGAAGTTAAAGCAATATGCTCATTAGTTCACAATTTACAAACAATCTGATTAAAATCAGCTATAAAATAACACACCGTTTGTACGGTATATATGAAAAACATACAATCTGAACTTTAGTCTGATTGCAATAAAGCAGAGACAGACAATGAACTCTTTAGATTGCTTAATTGGAATTTTCATGAAATGGTACATATACTTTTTGACTACATGTCAGTTTCACAATAGAAATAAGTGACGTTGAATTCACGGACAAATGTATACTAGACCCTTTGTCTTCATATTAATTGGTTCGAATTCCACCAAAGAGTAATAATGTTCTAACAATGTCTATCCCTATTGCATTGTAGATGTGACTGGAAAAACGATCAAACAAAATTTACATAAATTCAATGCTAAACTGCATTAAACTAGAACAAAACATGATAAATAAGATTTCAGTATATTCTTCATGTACACAACAACTTAGACTGTATTAATGTAAGATATGTAAAATTACTAAAACTGAAATATTACTTGTAAGCCCTTTGCATTTTTTTCGCCCCATTTATTACACCAGAAACATAATCTTTTGCTCTTTGCCATGCTCTGCCGATGCTGCTGCTGCTGCCGCCGCCGCCGCCGCTGCTGCTGCTGCTGCTTTCATGGTCTACTGCCAAAGTCGCCTCAAATTGCACTGCAGCAACCTTCAAAGTCACGAAAAGCAGCAATATAAAAGCCATGTCTGTCACCCTCGTTTTAATGAACATCTTTCAGCGATGATGTCGTCAAGAAACCAAAATGAACTATAATGATTAATTAGTTTTTTATCGTGACATATTTATGGCAACAGTTTTACACATAACCATCACGTTAGTTATATTATTAACTACTTCGATTTCGTGTGGATATGGTAAAAACAGATATTGTTAATAAGATGAATTACAGATCTTCCTCTGATTTAATAGATTTTTTGTTATATAAATGACGTAATATATTCATGTATCGATTATGACCTTAATATAAATTCAATATTAAACAATTTTTACTATTTTTTAAAGAACTCAATATAAAACTTTTCATAAAGTAATGTTTATTAAGCTTTACAAAATGCAATTTGCTATGAATGAGTTGAATATAGCTTAGGATTAGAAAGTTATTACCTTTAGGGCAAATGAAATAATAATAAGCAAAACATGTTAAAATGGTTGACATAGGAATAATAATTGTGTCGAATATTTGATAATTTAGGCTGTAAATGCATTACACAATGGCATCATTATAAACATAGAGATCTTTTAAATATAACAATGCAATTTGTTGGAATAATAATATGATTTGAAAGTTATTATCTGTTGCATACCAACCTGTAATGTTTCGATGGGTTACACCCCTCCTTAAATCACATAAATTCTTCATTTTTCTTACAAAATGTTATTTACAAATTGTTCTCCAAACACAGTGCTTTCCAAAGTTATTTTATTTGATAAATGCTTTGTATCAAACAAATATAGTTAAGCTGTTGCAATCATGTTCAAATTGTGAACTTGTTATGGTTTCCTTCCATCTATATCCTATATGATTTTAAAATTATTATTATTTATTATTATTCTGATAAATGCTTCAACTGTGCCTTTTTCGAATTGTAAAATTGTTATGGTTTCTATCAATATATATAATCTAAAAGATAATCTTTTTGATAAATGTTTTGTATCATACAAAAAATATAGTTTTACGGTTTTGATTATCATACAATTGTAAAATACTAAATGCCTGTACCTGTTTTCTCCTTCAAATGTTTTTCCCTGTCGGATTGAACGCTAAATCAGCTTTAACTATTTATATTTTGAAATGTCTTGCAGGTTTAATTGCCTTAGGGATATTGTATTGTTATGCGCAAAATTTGTATTGTCATTCAAATTACGTTTAAAAAGTTGTCAACAGCCATAAAGTGGAAACTAAAAAAATGCATCCTGTTATTTTGCATCATTTTGACGTATGTACAGTGGCACAAAGGTGACGTGTGTGTGTTTTTATTTATCTCGTGCGTACGATAAACAAATACGCGTAAACAAAGATCAAGTAAAGATATACGTGAATACAGGTCTATAAATATTTTAGGGTATTGTAGTTTACCTATTTTCAAAGATTAATTACCATTAATAACAACAATTTAAAAAGCAATTACAAATTAAGCATATGAAAACCTAGGAAGATGTATGTTACTATAAGGGTATAGCAATATGATAACGGGACCATAAGTTATTAAATGACTCAGGTTTGAATAACTTGGTGTGAGAAGAGAAATTTTGTCTTAATACAAGACCCAACTTGCGTTTAAGGATTAAAGATTGAAAACAACAACCAGAATTTCTTCATATTTTATTTATTAATAATTAGTTACCCTATGACAAAAACACAATATCGATTAGACGCAACGTTAAACCATTCGAAACCATATCGATTAACATTGAATACATAGGAAATATCTGTGCGTGCGTGAGCGTTTATGTGTTTATATATATGTAAATAATTTCACACATTTTATTGATACTTTGCTCTGATTTAGTAATATTGTTTGTATAGAGTTAAACAAAAATATTTTTGATCTATTTTAGAGATCAGTTGATGAGTGCTTTTCTTGTTATCTTTTGAACAACTTACATGCACAATGTTTAACCATAAAACCATTTAAAAATTTATAAATCTTGTCAAACTGGCGAGCAATAAGTGAAAATATGAGATTACTTTATGGTGTGATAAAGTATGCAGACAAGAATGATAAACCGGGACTGTTATTCTTTGTTGAGTTTGGAAAAAGAAAATCGGTAACAAAAAATACAATTACGTATTTAAAACTTAAGATCTTTTTTAACTTTGGACAAACTAAATGGCATGGCTTGAATTAATTAACAAAGACCCACAAATTGCAAATTCTTCAATGGCCTATTAAATGTCTATTAAAAGAGGAGTACGACAAGGCTGTCAATTAACCGTACATTTTTATCTGAGAAATTGAATTTCTGTAAAAGCTATTAGACAAAACAAAATTATTAAAGGATGTAGAATTAAAAATAGCCTCTTTGCTGACGATGCAACTTTACTATTAAATGGTATATTTGACCGCTTTGTATCAACCATGTACATATTTGGACATTTTTCTATTTCCGCTCTTAAAACTTAATTACAAGAAATGTACAGTTCTCAGAATAGACTCACTAAATAACTTATATGATCTAATTTACTGTAGAAAAAAATTGTACATTCGAATGTTCAACAACATTATGCATAACATTCCATTCTAAATGTGATTTTATAATTAAATTGGATTTTGAGAATAAATCAATCAATCTAAAGTAGATAAAAATAGATGCAGAGAAACAAATGGTAATTTTTTCGCCTTAAAGTTCTAAGTGATAAAATTATGGAAACAATTACACAACACTGTTTTGAATCTATTCGGTACTCAAAAAGGGAGAAAGTTATTACTATACAAAACTTTGAATATGGATGATCGGATTGATTGGATATAAAAGACTTGCAAATTTTTATTAACTCAGTTAAATCAATCTAGGCCAAAAGGTTATTATGGATTGTGAAAGAAATAATAAAGAGGATTTTTAAATAGGTGGAACCGATTTATTCAAAAGTAATCTAAACACAAATGAATATACAGAAATTAAAATTAAAACATGACTACGGTCATGGAGTAAAAAAAAAAAAAAATTCACAAAATCTATTATACCAAATTATTTAGCAAAATTTACAATTAAAAATAATGAATCTTTATATATATTTTTTTTCAAAAATGGAAACTTAATGTAGAAATATCAATCACATTTAAGATTAAAGCTATTTTTTACACTAAAATAAAACAATTTAAATCTTTTGACCAGCTGAAAAAATATTTTAACATTCCTAATACATAGATATTTAAATTTTACAAACTAACTTTATCAATACCAAAAGAATGAAAACATGATATAATACACTGCCTGTAGAAATAAGCACTTTTAGTATCACAGAAAAAAAGAAATCGTCTCGTCCAATGTCAGTAAAAAGCTAACACAGATTCAAGAGCAAATGAGACTGTGACAACATTGCAAATAAATTTGAAAAAATGAATTTCCCCAAACAGAATTTCAATGGCAAAGTATCTACGAAACGTTTGCAACACTTCAAAGATAATATTTTACGAAAGTTTCAACTTAATTTTTACACAGGGACATTGCAAAAACACGTTTCTCCTTCAATGTAAATTTACCAAGTAAAGTCTTTGTGGTTGTTGCTGCATGGATATTGAAAGTATAAAGCATCTGTTCTGGAACTGGCAAACTGCAGACATTTTCTGGAGCAATCTATTCAAATGGCTAAATGAGATAGGAATAAGTGTATCGTATGGTAATTTTACATCTTTTTTCGCTCTTAAGAGCTAGATAAGACAACGTCATAATTTTTCCTTTTCTAAAAAAACCCCCCTACAAATAACAAACTCCAGACGTAAGTATTTAAAAATGAAGCAGTTAAACAGTTTAAAAATTGAAAGATTTCTTTTTGCATTACAGAATGATATATTAGAAGACTTGAAAATTGCTGCATAATTTCTAATAGAATTTTTTCTAATTAAATTTTTATTATCTAAAATAATATCTGCATATAGAAAACCTACCAAAGCAGTTTATTTACACTTATTCCTTTTTCCTGTGTACTTGTAATTGGGGACTATACGCCGCTTTTCATGGAATGGCACGGAAGTGTCACATTGAAGGTTCCATGATAACCGCCGTATGAACACATCTGCAGATGTTTCAAAATTCTAAATTTTACCATTTCATGTTTAAATGTTGAATTCTGCTTAAGGCGTGCTAGGGGGCGTGGACGGTAGTTTGCACTTTACAGTACCGTCCATGAACAGACTCGATCAAACCGAGCCTGCAACATTTTCAATTTTGCCGTGTTGGGCTTTCTTTAGGGATTCTAATTTTCTCTATTTTAATAATATATATTTGATCTTCTTAACTTCATTTAATGTCTTAATTCCCCTACTTTCCCTATTTATAATCAACAACAGAAAGTATTTACAAACATAAAATGTTATATATTATCTACGTAAATGCTATAGTTGTAATATATGTGTTATTGTAAGTGTTTACACAAGATAAATTAAATGAACAAAACAAAAAACAAAATGATTATGAAAATAAAAAAATATTCTCTTGATGTACCTGTATGATTTTCCTCTCTCTCTCTCTCTACGAACTCTTTATTTGCTGTACGCCTTAAGAAAATATTTAGAACTTTTTGGCGTTAACTATTTACCTGCTTGAACAGAAAGTGATTAGATTTGGCCACCAGTAAAGGCTGACTAGGCTCTATACTGTTGGTTGATTTAAATTCACATTTTAAAGTTCGCAGTATTGATAATGGACAGTTTTATAAATAGAAGCTGAACAAGTCCATTTAAGAATTTCAGCATGTTTAGGCTGTCCTGTGACAATTATAACATGCCTTAGCCTACTGAATACTTCTCTATACTGGTGGTGTCTCCATTTTGGTATATTCATTAAGACGTTCCTGCATATTACAATGGATTAATGCATATTCAAAACGGGACAACCCATTACAAAAATAAAGCATGTTTAAGGGTTGAAGATGTGAATCTCGAAGTTTATTTGAGGTTAAATGACCAAAGTTAATAATGTACTTCAAGCATGTTTTATTTAAAGGGACTCCATTGATGTTTTTTGACATGGCGGGACTGAATTTTTTCGGAATAAATGTCCCGGTTGATGTAGGTCTAAACCAAAAGCCTTTGTGCAAAACTTTAGGGCATTCGCTTACTCCGTTAATTATATTAAATGTACAAAATGACCCAAAATCGAAAAAGCGTTGCAACGTTTTACACCTCAAAAAAGCACAAAAAAACGATATTCAAGTATATTTTGTACTATCTTTGCATATCTTTCTGTTTAAGGTGCCCAAGATTAATAATGAAAGAATTTAAATTTTTATGTCTTTCGGCTTTTAAACTTCGTTGAGTCCTTATAAATCTTTGATTACTTCGCAATATCAATATATATTTAACAGTTTGTGCACTAGAAAGCATATGACTTTTCTATAGTTATCACTTTCCCTGTCGTCACAATAAGTAAAACTCAAAATGTTACTCGTATTGAACTTCATTTCAAATGTTAATATAATTACTTTTTTAACAAGAACAGTGATTGAAAATAAAATGTATACTGACACAACTGTAAGTGTAAAATTGTAATCAAAGTACAGAAATACCGATGGGCTGGATATCTGTCACTCTGTTTTACACACCTCTTTATGAACAGAAAAACACGGTACTATTTCATAAACGATGAACGTCATTTTGGTAAGCAGTTGGTAGTAGGATATTCGAATAACCAACTACCTACTAGCTGATTTTTAACACTCAACTATTTAACAGCTGGTGCTTGGTAATTCAATCCACTAGTAAAAGTATGTAATGTTCAAACACATCATACATTTTTTTAACACAGAATCAAGGAGGGGACCTAGTTGATTGTTCGCGCGAATCCCCATCTACTCACCAGAATAGCATGGTTTACCCTCAAAACAGAAAGTATCTTTCCGAAATTAAACGGATGTATAGAAAGATAGGTGCGGTTTTCAACATTTAAACAAACTGTCTCCTTATGACCACAATGAGAGCCAGACTCGCGCGAATCGCCTAACTACCTACTAAAGGTACTACTTATATTTTTGGAGGATACGTACGACTAATATGTTTTGGAGGATACGTACTGCTTATATATTTTGGAGGATACGTACTACTTATGTATTTTGGAGGATACGTACTACTTATATATTTAAGAGGTTACGTACCACTTATATATTTTGGAGGAAACGTACCATGGAGTGGTTTAGTGGAACTGAAAAAACAATACATACATTGAACTTATACATTGATTTGTTTGTAAATATGAGCCTGTAAATAGAATGTTTAAGACGTAATATGACACTGTATGTGTTTGTATGTAATTTAGAAATGTGTTAAATATGTAGAAAAAAATATTTCTTTTTTTCCGTATTTTTTTATCTAAGATAAGTAACTTTGTTTGGTACATTTAACTGCATATAAAATATTATTGTTATTAATTATTTTGCCTCATTTAGTTCAGTTTAGTAAATAAAACTTAAAAATATTAGTTTTTTTATATTTGTTAATTGTGGTTTGTTGTTTCATTGTAATCATGTTCATTTCATTTTAGAGCGTGTCTTATTATTATTGTTGTTAATTATTTCATTGTATGTTTAGTTCAGTTTAGCGCGTATAAATAAATCTTAATAATTTATTTATAGATAATTGTGGTTTGTGTTTCATTGTACTCATGTCCATTTCAGTTAGGTGCTGTAAATAAAACTTATTTATTATCGTAAATTGTGGTTTGTTGTTTATTCTTCTTATATATTTGTATATTCATGGACGCAACGACGATTATTTTGAGATATGTGTACATTTTTTGATGACAGAGTTTAATTTGGAATAAGTTGGATTAACACAAACCAAAATGTTATGTCAAATGTGAAAAGAATAAACTCCTTCTCAAGGCTGCACGAACAGTTGGATTACAAATCATCACTAATGTTAGGGATCAATTCAATTCCTAGGCGGCTAAAATAAACTCAACCTTTTCGTTACACTTACAGTTGACCTTAAATCACAATTCTTTAGAAAGCACAATGGACGAGTGCTTTTGTTTTATTTTTCTCCTGATGAATCTTTATTGTAGTAAGGTCAAAGACATCATATTAGTGGTTTTTCTGTCTTCGAAACAAATGTTTGGTAGACGAAGTACAACTTTGTTTACCTTTTGCAACTTTGATGAGTAGTTATTTCACATTCAATGCTGCTATATTTGCGTTATAAGCCTCTAAACCTGGTCTTAATAAGTTATTTTAACACATTATAAAGCTAAGGTTTTCAAATTCTTCAGAGTAAAATTTGCATTCATTTCGTAGACTAAAGGTGACTTTAAAATTTTAATTTAACAATGAAAAATCAATTTAAAAGTCATGCTTTTTCTTCCTTTTTAAGTTTGAGCTTTGACAGCAATCATTTAGATGATTCATAATCGTTTAATTGTTTTGTCAACAATAGTATTCATTACAGATAAAAGGATATAAAGTATCAAAAGTGGTTTCTAAAAATACATTTGAAAAATACAACATAACAATTGTTTGCAATATGATATTATTTGTTTTTCCTTGGACTTTTGAGAAGATGTCGCTCTACGGTATTCTCATGTTTAAATAACCGACATTTATTGCATGCTTTTTTCTTACTTTTAATTAAATGAGGGAATACGTTTTCGTGAATAAAAACGGCACTTTTATGTTTGTGATTATGGCATATGTATAGGGTCATCTACTGTCTTTTCATGTTTAATATGATGTCTTTTCAGGTTTAATTTGTAATAAAATGTTCATATTTTAATTAGAAAACATTATGTCCATTTTGCAAAACATCACATTGGAGAAGATGTTCTGCGCATATTTTTTTATTTCCAAATTCTTTTCCATTTTTGCTTTAAATGAAATTTACCCTGCCTTTCAGTTGTATTGTTTTCTTCTTTTTTGTTGCTTATTTTATCAGCACGATTAATCAGCTGTTTATCTTAATTTATTACATAAGATAAATTCGTATCTATTAGGGTTCGCGTTTACAATGCGCTAACTGGTTCAGAACGAAACCGTACTGCAATGTTTTATTTATATTTATATTACGACTCTTAGTTGAAAATGTTTTTTTATTTCGTTTGTTTGTTTGTTTGTTTTTATCACGATTAAATGACCATTATATCAGGGTTATGATATTTTTGTAGTGTCTGCCTCTCAGCTTAAGATCGTGAGTTCGTACCCTACTTGGGTCATGGCCATGTTTCCTGTGTTACACCAGTTCTTGTTAATTTAGGAAGCGGACATGATAATGGTAAATAAGCTACAAGATTTCTCCATAATGTCCATAATCGACCATGAGGATGGTCGCTTGGTAGATATGTGTACATTTTTATGATGACCGAAAATCATTTTTTAATATTGTATATATGTTTACATAAATATCAGATTTATTTGTTTAAAGAGGGTAATAATTTTTGTTTTACTTCTTGTTTTTAATTTTAGTTTTAAATCAGTTGTATTCAAAACATAACTTATGTTAGTATTTAATTATAAATTCAATGTGATGTCCAAGGCAGCTCGGACGAGTTCAATCTTAGGGTAACACTAACGGCTTAACATAAAATTCCTCAGCAAATAACTTTCACTTGAAATGAAAATTGATGAGTGTTACTTTAAATTTCACCCTGGTCATTCTTTTTTGTAGTAAGTTCAACCTCATCAATTGGTGTTTGTTTTAATTAACTATGGTCAAGGAAGTTTTAATGTTGAAATCAATTGACATGTGTACAGTAATCTAAACTTTTATACCACATATTAAGCAATGTATGTTCTGCAATGCAAATCATTATTTCATATACAGGAATCTTTTCGGCTAATGTATACTGTAAACTTCAGTTGCTTATGAATCAAAAAATACATTACAGGTAATGTTTCATGAAAAAACACTTTTATTTTAGGTAAAGCATACAAACAGATAAAAGATGTATTACAGAGATTGCAAAATATGGCACATAGTCAAAATATACAAGTAAACAGTGCATACGGTATGAGTGGAGTCATTTAAGACGTTTTATTTCTTGTACTTTTTTGGTAGTCCTATGGGGCGATATTTATTCGGATCTCCTCCGTTACGTCCATGCTCATTGGCTCTTTGATCAGCTGCTCTGTCAGCGGCGCTGTCACCCTTGAAAAATCCATAAGCTTCACGAGCATCACTGAAAAGTATGCATTTTTATTTTCGTGAAATTATATATATTCACATATTACATATTGAAACGAAAATTTATGATTTCAAAAAAATTAATATCATGGCGACATATGTGTTTGTCGGAAATATTGATAAATGTTTTCAATCTTGAAATTGTTTCTCCTGACAAGTTTAAAGTGGGCATTACTTGAACGATTGTAAAAATAATTTATCTCTTTACATGAGTAAAAAAAATCCCGAAAAAATTGAGTCCGTTTCAACCTTTTGAGCAGCTGGACACATTCAACTGATCAATGCTCACACAGTGAAAAGGGTTCTTAATTATCCAATTTTGACATCGACCATGCACTAGTGTTAAGCCAAATTTTATATATTAATGACCTAAAAGCTCATATATTGTCAAAAATGAAAAACTAAAATTGTAACTAGATACGATTGTCTTACATATATTAAGCGAAGCAATAAATTGAACTGAAAATATTGCTTAAAGTTAAGGCGGCACAGCTTTTTTTCTTTGTTGCAGCGAAACAGGTTCGCATCCAGTAACCTCTAATAAACCAATTCGATTAATGTTTTTCACAATTATTGATGATCATTGAGATAAGATGATCCAAAAATGAAATAAGTATTGTAGTAAAGATCATCAATACAGTAAAACATGCTTTTATTTAGACGGTTATTTAAATACTACCCCTTTCGTCTTTAAACATTATTTAGGTATTTCTCACACCCGTCATGGACAGAAGGTGTTTCACTTTAATTATATATTTATTATGGACTAAAAAATGACAAATATTGCAAATATGGTACTTGATATTTTCAAAGGCAGGCTTATGAAAAAAAATTTCACGGTCAAAGTAATTTTGACGAGATCAATCAATAAACTTTTAAGAAAATTTAAGCATTTGAAGACAGCCTCTCATTTTGGTAAATTTTAGGGATATTTTGATTTAGCCTCTTTAAGTAACAAAATGGTCAAACAACATTACCAATACTTTATTCGGAAAACATAAATGCCTTGTACGATTTTTATGATTTAAATGGTGACTTGCACGGAATCCATGATTCAAAAGTTATCTTGCACGAAAATCATCTTTCGAAATGTGTATTGTACGAAATTCACTGTTCCAACTCAGTCGTGCATCGCTATAACATTATAATTATGTACAGTGCACAATCAGTACGATCTTATTATAAGCTGTGTTTCTCAAGTTCGTATTACACAGATAATTGTAAAAGTGAGTGTATTTTAAAGGATACATTTATAAGTGTTATAAGATTCAAGAGTACCTGATGAACTTCGCCGCATGTCTCCCACCAGTTCCATGTGTAGCGGCATCAGCATTTCCCCTTGCGTGAAAGTACTTATCAGATTTTTTCCAGTTTGCTTCTTTCATGTCACTGTAATACATAGAATCATAAAGGTATTTTTTATTTGATAACTAACTAAATCTATATTCATACTTATTATATAAGATTTTGTCTTGTCTATAGCAGATAACTTCCCGTTCTCTGAACCGATTTATGGCTGTGCCTCGACCTACTGTAATACTTGATCTATTTGCGAAATTGGTGCGTTGTCACGAAGATGGCGTTGGCGGATATAATCATATCACCGAAATGCTCCATAATGCCATGCAATTGACTTAAACGTACCATTCTTTGGCAAACGTGCCTATGAATCTGTCCAAATGCAGATGTAATGTCAAGTAAAAATAGTGAAGTTAAAGCAATATGCTCATTAGTTCACAATTTACGAACAATCTGATTAAAATCAGCTATAAAATAACACTACGTTTGTACGGTATATATGAAAAACATACAATCTGAACTTTAGTCTGATTGCAATAAAGCAGAGACAGACAATGAACTCTTTAGATTGCTTAATTGGAATTTTCATGAAATGGTATTTTTTTGACTACAGTTCAGTTTCACAATAGCAATAAGTGACGTTGAATTCACGGACAAATGTATACTAGACCCTTTGTCTTCATATTAATTGGTTCTAATTCCACCAAAGAGTAATAATGTTCTTACAATGTCTGTCCCTATTGCAGTAGATGTGACTGGAAAAACGATCAAACAAAATTTACATAAATTCAATGCTAAACTGGATTAAACTAGAACAAAACATAATAAATAAGATTTCAGTATATACTACATGTACACACAACTTAGACTGTATTAATGTAAGATAAGTAAAATTACTATAACTGAAATATTACTTGTAAGCCCTTTGCATTTTTCTCGCCCCATTTATTACACCAGAAACATAATCTTTTGCTCTTTGCCATGCTCTGCCGATGCTGCTGCTGCTGCTGCCGCCGCCGCCGCTGCTGCTGCTGCTTTCATCGTCTACTGCCAAAGCCGCCTCTAATTGCACTGCAGCAACCTTCAAAGTCACGAAAAGCAGCAATATAAAAGCCATGTCTGTCACCCTCGTTTTAATGAACATTTTTCAGCGATGATGTTGTCGTCAAGAAACCAAAATGAACTATAATGATTAATTAGTTTTTTATCGTGACATATTTATGGCAACAGTTTTACACATAACCATCAATTTAGTTATATTATTAACTACTTCGATTTCGAGTGAATATGGTAAAAACAGATATTGTTAATAAGATGAATTACAGATCTTCCTCTGATTAAATAGACAGACTTTTTGTTATATAAATGACGTAATATATTCATGTATCGATTATGACCTTAATATAAATTTAATATAAAACAATTTTTACTATTTTTAAAAAAACTCATTATTAAACTTTTCATAAAGTAATGTTTATTAAGCTTTGCTATGAATGAGTTGAATATAGCTTAGGATTAGAAAGTATATTACCTTAAGGGCAACTGAAATAATAATAAGCAAAACATGTTTAAATTGTTGACATAGGAATAATAATTGTGTCGAATATTTGATAATTTAGGCTGTAAATGCATTACACAATGGCATCATTATAAACATAGAGATCTCTTAAATATAACAATGCAATTTGTTGGAATAATTATATGATTTTAAAGTTATTATCTGTTGCACACCAACCTGTAATGTTTCGATGGGTTACACCCCTCCTTATCAAAGAGTTTGCCGTTTATTGTCTAAATCACATAAATTCTTCATTTTTCTTACAATATGTTATTTACAAATTGTTCTCCAAACACAGTGCTTTCCAAAGTTATTTTATTTGATAAATGCTTTGTATCAAACAAATATAGTTAAGCTGTTGCAATCATGTTCAAATTGTGAACTTGTTATGGTTTCCTTCCATCTATATCCTATATGATTGTAAAATTGTTATGGTTTCTATCAATATATATAATCTAAAAGATAATCTTTATGATAAATGTTTCGTATCATACAAAAAATATAGTTTTACGGTTTTGATTATCATACAATTGTAAAATACTAAATGCCTGTACCTGTTTTTCCTTCAAATGTTTATTCCCTATCGGATTGAACGCTAAATTAACTTTAACTATTTATATTTTGAAATGTCTTGCAGGTTTAATTGCCTTAGGGATATTGTATTGTACTGCACAAAATTTGTATTGTCATTCAATTTACGTTTTAAAAGTTGTCAACAGCCATAAAGTGGAAAATAAAAAAAATGCATCCTGTTATTTTGCATCATTTTGACGTAGGTACAGTGGCACAAAGGTGACGTGTGTGTGTTTTTATTTATCTCGTGCGTACGATAAACAAATACACGTAAACAAATAACAAGTAAAGATATACGTGAATACAGGTCTATAAATATTTTAGGGTATTGTAGTTTACCTATTTTCAAAGATTAATTACCATTAATAACAACAATTTAAAAAGCAATTACAAATTAAGCATATGAAAACCTAGGTAGATGTATGTTACTATAGGGGTATAACGGGACCATAAGTTATTGAATGACTCAGGTTTGAATAACTTGGTGTGAGAAGAGAAATTTTGTCTTAATACAAGACCCAAATTGCGTTTAAGGATTAAAGATTGAAACAACAAACAGAATTTCTTCATATTTTGTTTTATTTATTAATAATTAGTTACCCTATGACAAAAACATAATATCGATTAGACGCAACGTTAAACCATTCGAAACCATATCGAATAACATTGAAAACATAGGAAATATCTGTGCGTGCGTGAGCGTTTATATGTTTATATATATATGTAAATAATTTCACACATTTTATTGATACTTTGCTCTGATTTAGTAATATTGTTTGTATAGAGTTAAACAAAAATATTTTTGATCTATTTTAGAGATCAGTTGATGAGTGCTTTTCTTGTTATCTTTTGAACAACTTACATGCACAATGTTTAACCATAAAACCATATAAAAATTTATAAATCTTGTCAAACTGGCGAGCAATAAGTGAAAATATGAGATTACTTTATGGTGTGATAAAGTATGCAGACAAGAATGATAAACCGGGGCTGTTATTCTTTGTTGAGTTTGGAAAAAGAAAATCGGTAACAAAAAATACTATTACGTATTTAAAACTTAAGATCTTTTTTAACTTTGGACAAACTAAATGACATGGCTTGAATTAATTAACAAAGACCCACAAATTGCAAATTCTTCAATGGCCTTTTGTCTATTAAAAGAGGAGTACGACAAGGCTGTCAATTAACCGTACATTTTTATCTGAGAAATTGAATTTCTGTAAAAGCTATTAGACAAAACAAAATTATTAAAGGGTGTAGAATTGAAAATAGCCTCTTTGCTGACGATGCAACTTTACTATTAAATGGTATATTTGACCGCTTTGTAGCAACCATGTACATATTTGGACATTTTTCTATTTCCGCTCTTAAAACTTAATTACAAAAAATGTAGTTCTCAGAATAGACTCACTAAATAACTTATATGATCTAATTTACTGTAGAAAAAAAATGTACATTCGAATGTTCAACAACATTATGCATAACATTCCATTCTAAATGTGATTTTATAATTAAATTGGATTTTGAGAATAAATCAATCAATCTAAAGTAGATAAAAATAGATGCAGAGCAACAAATGGTAATTTTTTCGCCTTAAAGTTCTAAGTGATAAAATTATGAAAACAATTACACAACACTGTTTTGAATCTATTCGGCACTCAAAAAGGGACAAAGTTATTACTATACAAAACTTTGAATATGGATGATCGGATTGATTGGATATAAAATACTTGCCAATTTTTATTAACTCAATTAAATCGAGCTAGGTCAAAATGTTATTTGATAAAAAATAACCAGGGATTGTGAAATAAATAAAAACAGAGGATTTACAAAAAAATAGATGAAATCGATTTATTTTAAAGTAATCTAAACACAAATGAATATACAGAAATTGAAATTAAAAAATGACTACGGTCATGGAGTAAAAAAAATAATAAAAATTCACAAAATCTATTATACCAAATTATTTAGCAAAATTTACAATTAAAAATTATGAATCTTTATATATTTTTTTTCAAAAATGGAAACTTAATGTAGAAATATCAATCACATTTAAGATTAAAGCTATTTTTTACACTAAAATAAAACAATTTAAAACTTTCGACCACCTGAAAAATTATTTTAACATTCCTTATACATAGATATTTAAATTTTACAAACTAACTTTATCAATACCCAAAGAATGAAAACATGAACTATAATACACTGACCAAACTTTAACGCCTGTAGAAATAAGCACTTTTAGTATCACAGAAAAAAAGAAATCGTCTCGTCCAATGTCAGTAAAAAGCTAACACAGATTCAAGAGCAAATGAGACTGTGTAAAAGTACAAAGACAACATTGCAAATAAATGGGAAAAAATGAATTTCCCCAAACAGAATTTCAATGGCAAAGTATCTACGAAAACGTTTGCAACACTTCAAAGATAATATTTTACGAAAGTTTCAACTTAATTTTTACACAGGGACATTGCAAAAACACGTTTCTCCTTCAATGTAAATTTACCAAGTAAAGTCTTTGTGGTTGTTGCTGTATGGATATTGAAAGTATAAAACAAACTCCAGACATAAGTATTTTTAAAAGGAAGCAGTTAAACAGTTTAAAAATTGAAAGATTTGTTGATTACAGAATGATATATAAGAAAACTTTGAAAATTGCTGCATAAATTCTAATAGATTTTTTTCTAATTAAATTTGCATTATCTAAAATAATATCTGCATATAGAAAGCCTACTAAAGCAGATTAATTACCCTTTTTCCTGTGTATTTTATAATATATATTTGAGCTTCTTTACTTTATTTAATGTCTTTAATCATCTACTTTGCCTATTTATAATCCACAACAGAAAGTTTTTACAAACATACAATGTTACATATTATCTACGTAAATGCTAAAGTTGATATATTTGTAAGTGGTTCCAAAAGATAAATTAAATAAATAAAACAGAAAAGTAATGATGAAAATATAAATTAAATATTCTCTGGTTGTACATGTATGTTTTTCATCTCTCTACGACCTCTTTATTTGCTGTACGCCTTAAGAAAATATTAAGAACTTTTTGAAGTTAAGAACTTACCAGCTGGAACAGAAAATGATTAGCCTTGGCCACCAGTAAAGGTCGACTAGGCTGTATACCGTTGAATTCACATTTTAAAGCTCCCAGAATTGATAATGGACAGTTTTATAAATAAAGGCTGGACAAGTCCATTTAAGAATTTTAGCATGTTTAGGGTTAAAACGTTTAAGTGCTGGTGACAATAATAACAGCCTTAGCCTACTGAATACTTCTCTATACTGGTGGTGTCTTCATTTTGGTATTTTCATATGGACGTCTCTGGATATTACAATAGACTAATGAATATTCAAAACGGGATAATCAATTACAAAAATAAAGCAATTTTAAGAGTTAAAGGTGTGAACTCGAAGTTTATTTGAGGTTTTATTGACCAGAGTCAGAAATTATAAGTACTGAAATACACTCAAAGTCATTATATTATTATTTCAATTGACTATTTCTCAAATTGACTATTGTGTCCTGATATTTTCCTTTTCCTCTTAATGAAATTTAGCCTGCCTTTCAGTTGTGTTGTTTTCTGTGGTTATTGTGGTCTTTCTTTCTTTCTTTCTTTTTCTTGCTCGTTTTATCAACACAATTAATTGGCCGTTTATTTTAGATAAATCATTTACTATTTAAGTACGTGTTACAATGCTTTTGCTGGTGATGTGAGGAAGCCATCCAGCTGGCTTACGGAAGGTCGGTGGTTCTACCCAGGTGCCCGCTCGTGCCTGAAATAATGCCCGGAGGGGCACCTGGGGTCTTCCTCCACCAATAAAGCTGGAAAAAAAATAGACGAAAAATCTCGGCGGGACGCTCTAGGATGTCCCGACTTGAGTGTACGGTCGCCCATATGGGCTTTTCGGCGGCGACCTTAAAAAAACGCATCAAAAAAAACTTTTGCTGGTACAGCCGAAATGAAACCGTGCTGCAATGTTTAATTTATACGCATCCTCTAAATATCGTAACCTCTGAATTTCGAGTACCGGACAATTTCCTATGGCTACTTATGCTAAACATGCATAAACAATCCTCTGAAAACCGGACAGCAACTTAAGTGTAAACTTTTTGAGCACTTTAATCTGGACTTTGATATACTCCCAACAGGTGACATGTTTAATAACCAGTTAATGATCATCTGTTTTTTAAATCAATGCAGGTGTGAAAACACTTGTCAGTGTGTTTATTTCTAATTGACAATTAAATTATAGCTCTTTCATCATAATTGTGTCTTGCCCTGTTTAGGTATAATTTTCCACAATGTTTTAATTAGTTCAGTTTTTTTATATAATTTAAAAATGTAAAAAAAATGCAAATCATTTGTTAAATGATTCCTGTTTCGCTTAATTTTTTTTATCTTGAAGCCATTTGGTTATTAACTTTATGCAAAAATAATAACAATTTATTCCATTCCATTATTTATATATTTCAAAAGCTAATTAAAAAGTTGTATTTCAGACAATATGACAATTTGTTTTAATTTCTAATTTTCTGAATTATATTTATGAATTTACATAAGACATTTATTTAAATATGACTTATACAATAGGGTAGAAATATAAATACAAAATGATTTAAACAAAGTTATTATTCAAACACATTTTAAATGTTGCAAAAAACCTCCCTCTGAAAACCAGACTTTTGGTAAAGTCCGTACAGAGTTTTTACTGGATTCATTTTACGGACCCTTAGATGGGAAATGTGAGTTAATCATTTTTGTTTTTTGGTCACGATTTAATGACCAATTTTTTCCAAGTGTTATGATATTCTTGTGGTTTAAGTGTCTGCCTCTTAGCTAAAGATCGTGAGTTCGTACCCTACTTCGGTCATGACCATGTCTCCTCGTATAACAGCAGTACTGGTTAATTGCAGGGAGCGGACATGATAATGCCGGCTCGCCACGGCGAGCCGGTATTACGGTAGGATTTTACTGAGAAACAACCTAAAACTCCGAAGCTATCCAAAAATTTAATCGAAGCTTGGCTTCCAGCTTTCTACAAAATTTATCTATCAGGGCTAGGATCCAAAATTATTTAGCCAATCAAATTTAATCTTACATAGCGTCAAAAAACCTTCAATTTTCACGCCATTTTTAAAAATCAGCAAGTATTGTTTTGAGCGCAAAGATATAATGATGATTAAAATGTTTGTCTTTATGAATTCTTTTCAATAAATCATATTTACACTGACTTCTGATTTAGCGATTTCACCTGTTTTCTCTGTAGTAAGTTTTCGTTTGGTTAATTAACATAAGTGTACATCTGGTTCTGTGCATTTTTTATTTTTTTCCTTTCTACCGGTCATTTTATTCTTTCCGGTATTTAGTGTATGTATTTACTGGCCGGGATCCGGGACGCCCGGGATCCGGGATCGTATGAGATATGGAGGAAAAACCTAATGAACTATATTTGTGTTGATTGTTGTCGTAATGAAAGGCCATTAAACGATAATTTTTTTATTGTATATAATGAACGTTAAATTAATTTAACTTAGAATATAGATATATTTAGAGCTATTTATTAACAAACTTAAAATGCGGAAATCACAATACTTATAATTATATGCCTAATTAATTGGAAAAATCAAAGACTATTTTCTTGAATTGGTCAAATCCCGGGATCGCTATATGTTTAAAACGATCCCAGCTTTTCTGAAAACTATATACTTGAACTGGCCAATCCGTGAGATCTATTTACATTTTAATACGATCCCGGCTTTTCTGAAAACTATATTCTTGAACTGGTCAATTCCCGGGATCCCTATATGTTTTAATAGGATCCCGGCTTATCTGAAAAACATCTTCTTAGACTGGTCAATTTCCGGGATCCCTATATTTTTTAATAGGATCCCGGCTTTTCTGGCTGAATTGATTGACAACTTGTGTTTACTTTAGGACTTGTGCATCTCATTCCAATACTAAATAACATACATGTATTACAACTTAATTTTGTATAAAGAGACATCTTTATGAAATCTACCTATCTAACATTTTGTGGTCAAGGTCAACAGGCCATATAGTAAATGTGCATAGACATAGGTTCTTCATTCTATCTGTTTACATGCACCTTCATATATACTCATACTCATCTTGGTTAAACTGAGAGAACTTTATATGTCACTTTCAGTCAATGAGTTTAAGATTTTGAATTTACTGGCCCGAATTCCAGTTTTGAATTTATTCTACTAAATAATTAACAAAATTTTCTTAAATTTACACTGGCCTGAACTTATATACACTGGCCATCGGGCACCGAGCCAGTGTTGACTTCACTTTTATTTTGATGTTCGCTGAAGTCTCTTCAGCTAACAGAACTGTCATTTTTACATTTAAACACACCCCTTGAAAAAAATTACGAAGCGAGTCGCTACTAGCTTTTTTAAAAGCTAACCTTGTGGTAAAATAAGCTACAAGATTTCACCATTATGTTTATGATCGAGCATATGTTAGGACGTTCGTTTGGTAGGTATGTGTATATCTTTATGATGACCGAAGATCGGTATATTTTCAACATGTTTTTAATATTGTATATATGTTAACCAAGATGTCAAATTAAATTGTTTATAGTTTATAGTACGTTATACGTTGTGTAGTTATAGAATCAATATAATGTCCAAGACAGCTCGAACAAGCATAATCATAGATTACTTTAGATTTTCCCTTGATGATTCTTTCATGTAGTAAGGTCGACCTCATCATATTTGGTGTTTTTATTAACTAAGGTCATAGAGAAAGTTTATGTGAACTATAAACTTCTGTTGCATTTGAATTTAAGGATATATTACAAGTAACGTTTCATGAAAAAAAACGCTTTTATTGTAGGTAGAGCATATAGACAGAGAATAGATGTAATACAGAGTTTGCAAAATATGGCGCACAGTCAAAATATACAAGTAAGCAGTTTATATATTGTGAGTGGAAAGTTACAACGTCTTTTTAGATGTTTTATTTCTTGTACTTTTTTGGCAGTCCTTTGGGGCGATATTTATTCGGATCTCCTCCGTTACGTCCATGCTCATTGGCTTTTTGATCAGCTGCTCTGTCCGCGGAGCTGTCACCCTTCAAAAATCCGTAAGCTTCACGAGCATCACTGAAAATTATGAATTTTAATTTTCGTGAAAGTATATAAACATTCACATATCACATATTCATGCGACAAAATATGATTTGAAAAAATTAATATCATAACCATTTACATATGTTTTTGTCGGAAATATTGATAAATGATTTCAATCGTTGCTTCTCCTGACAAGTTTAAAGTAGACATTATATAAGTAAAACGATTGTAAAAACAACTTAATACCATAGCTTAAACATAATTTAAAAAAAAAATCCAAAAGGTCGAGTCATTTGAATTTTCACACTGAGAAAACACCATGATTTGAAAGTTAATTTATTGTTACAAATGAAAAGCTAAAATTGTATGATATATTATTGTCTTAATTTGGAGAAATAGAATAAACTGCATACATTACGAAAAAATACTTATAGTTTAGATATCTTGTCTTCATAACCTCTGATCCCCTTTCAAAATTCCATTTTATTTAGTTCTCGTTTGGGGCACACGCATTTATTTTACTTTGGGACCATATGCCGCTTTTCATGGAATGGCACTTAGGTGTCACATTGAAGTTTCCATGATAACCGCCATATGAACACATCTGCAGATGTTTCAAAATTCTAAATTGTGCCGGTTCAAGTTAAATGTTGAATTCTGCTTAAGAGGGGCTGTGGAGGTAGTTTGCACTTGACAGAACCGTCCATCGACAGGCTCAATCGAACCGAGCCTGCATCATTTTCAATTTTGCCGTGCGCTTACTTTAGAGACTCTTATTTTCTCTAGTTTATCATTTTTTGCAACGAAACGTTGGTTCTCATCCAGTACAGGACTTTCTAATAAACCAATTCGATTAAATGGTGATCGAAGGAAAGGACTAAATTTGTAATTTTACTTCAATAACCGATGTCTATCCCTTTAAGACAATTATGTTAGAAATGATCAGCAATACAGTTAAACAGGTCTGTATCTAAACGTCTATTAAAAACTTTTGTACATACTATATTATAAAAAATTTACAAAGTTTTGATCCAAACACATACACTAGAAATTTATCATTCAAAATGTGTGGTGCACGAAATTACTGCTCAAAATATGTTGTTCATCATATTAGCATATTGAGCAATGAGTACGATCTTATAGGGTCTTTTTTAAGTTCGTTTTATATAGATAAGAAGTAAGAATGTTTTAGAAGAATCATAAGTATAAAATTTTATACCTGATGACCCTTGCTGCATGTCTCCCGCCAGTTCCATACTTAGCTGCATCTGCATTTCCCCTTGCGTGGAAGTATTTGTCCGAATTTTTCCAATTGGCTTCTCTCATATCACTGAAAAAAAGGTCAAAAATGCATTTAAAATTCAAAATGGGTCCAACACTCACCAGAGTGCCATACATACGGCTTTGACTGATGCAGTTTCCGCTGTTTTCTTTTTAACTTTATCAAATATGCATAGCACAATATTTTTCCACACATATAAACATTTTTAAAAATAACTCTAGCTATAATCACCTGTTTTAAGTATAGTGTATATAGCTTTGTGAGGTCGTTAAACTGAAGAAAGATGATTCAGGCGCTGAATCCGGACATTAACAACAAGAAAATAATGTCTAAAGTCAAGCAAACTGACTTGTATCTTTATTTGTTTGGTCTTAGTCCTAAGCTGCAATGATAAGAAAAGGTAAATGAAAAGAAACGAAAAGCATACCTGATAAAGAAAGTCATTCATTTAAAATATATAAATTGTTTTACTATATCATTTTTTTGGCGTATTTCGTTAATTATCGGAACCGTTCAGTATTTCTGGGCACTGTCTAGTATACATAAAGGTAACCACGTATGCCTAAAAACAGTACCCGGGACAACAATAACCCCAACAGCGTAATTATGTTACATGTAGTGACTTTATCATAACCTATAGGTAAATGTATCTGTGACTCTGGCAAGTTGAGGGACACCAAAAAGTGCTAAACGACTGTAAAGTCGTCAGTCTTGCGTTCCCGAACAAAAAGTATGACGCATTCTCTCCGAAATCGTATGATATCTAGTTTTGACTTGTCAGACCCCGGTAAATTAACATATTTCACATTGCGACTGAATGTGTCATCAACAATAAATAGTACAAATCTAAATTCACTTTATGCAAATGTAAGAACAAATGTATGATGACCTAGAGAAATCTAAAGTATTTCTTAAGTGAAACGTAAGTCTCCATTATCACCGTTTATATCTGTAACGTAGGAATGTAATAATAACGCAGGAATCGTACAAAATTAACGCCGAATTGGTGTAAATAGCGGTCGAAACGAGTTTACACGGTTAGTAAACGGACGAAACATTTTCATAATAAATCAAATAAAACAAAAGAATAAGCGCATATGGCTGCTATGACAAATATTTCCAGAAATATGTTTTATTTTTAGAGATCGTTCGTGAGACATTTGCGATATACCTTGGTCATTTGCCAAACTACATATTGTACTATGTTCATATAATAGTAAAAAGTTGATATTGTTTGTGAGATAACCAGCGTTGCTTTGGTTAAGCATTCATAAAATCGGCGTTACCTCGTAAAAATTGTCTAAGTCACACTAGTTGTTTGGTAATGTGTCAGGTATACCGAATTTCAAAACAATAATTTAATACTAGTATATGTGTAATTGTATTAACCTATATTGACAAAACACAAAACATCGCCTAAATACGATAACCTGGTCGTCATTATCTTAAAAACCAAACACTTTCATTGAAATATTTTAATGAGATTAAAAATATGATGTCTTAACAACGGCTATCGTATGCGCTTTTTCAATTTTATTTACTTTGAAATATATTGGTTCATTTACTTACTGTGGTGCTCGTTTTGACCATGGGAATAACCATGGAATTGACCATGGGATTGCAAAATTCTGCGTTAATTCTGTACAATTCCTGCATTATTTTCACATGTATTCATTGCAGGATGTACCTGGTGATTATACACTTGCATAGTCTCTGGACTACTATGAAACAAAATATATTTGAATTAAATTGTAAGCTGCATATTGCAATGACAAGATTTAAAAAATTAAATCTACACACCTCAGATCGTAACAGTGTTAGGTAAATAAATAAATGTACGAATGAAATATTACTTGTAAGCCTTGCGCATAGCTTTCGCTCCGTTCTTCACTCCTGAAACGTAATCTTTTGCTTTTTGCCATGTGCTCCTCCTGCTACTGCTGCTGCTGCTGCTGCTACGACTGCCTCCTCCCCACCATCCTTCTGACTCCTTGACAGCAACTAACAAAATCACAAGAAGCAGCAAAACACTTTGAATGCCAATCACCCTCATTCTACTCAACGTTGTATCCAGAGACGATATTGATGCCAAGATACAACAATGAACTATGGCAATTATTCAGTTAATTTTCGGTTTTATAAGCATAATCGATGACTAACGAAACACTTTGAAATGACCGAAATGATAAGTTAGCATTTTCAATATGCCCAATCGAATATGTTTTTCTTATCTTCCTGGCTTGAATAATGTTATTGTGTATTTTAACTTCCTGATACAAAAAATGTTGTTCAGAATCTCATTTGTCAGATTTATAAATGTGAAAGTAAAATGACAGAATGTAACCAAACAGAAGGCAAACTAATACAGATGTAAACAACAGTGTGGGATAATCACGCGTCTGGTCATCGAACTTTGACCGTATATTGACAACATGCTTTTGGGACAAATATATCACAGAGTCAGCGTTAAATTGTAACAAGGTTAAAAAGCAGACAATGTACGCCATATATAAATATGATTTCATTCAACAATATATCGATCTTCTAAAGAGTTTTTCTGATAAATATTTTTGAATCCGTTTTTATGATTTCTGTGCCGTGTGAAAGCCACTCCAATTTGGCACTGTTATCTTTACAATATTGGAATATACTGAAAATTGGTGAATATATATTAATTGAACTTATTTAATGTTGTTCTTTTTTAGTTTCCGAAAACGGCACTCATTGTCCATAGAGTAGAAATTGTTTGTCTGTCATCAGAAAAGTTATGGTGATCCAATTCATAATTTACATTTTGATACTATGATAATACTCGTATTAGGAGAAATTATTTCACATTCAATACTGGTAGCTCTAAACGGAGCTACTCATGAGTCATGACACATCAGTTAATTTATTACTTTATTACTGCTTAAAAAGGATTTTTTTTTTCAAAGTCGGTGTATATTCTATAACCAAATATACATGTACACAACAATCATTAGGATAATATAACCAAAAAGCCACAGAATCTATAAAAGCGGCAAGTACAGACCATTATAATCTGGCACATCCGTTTTCTGATCATGGTCTGCACTGTACACTATTCAGTAAGTACATTTTTTTAATTTTCTCAAAAAATAGACAGCGGTTATGTCCGGATGGAAAAGTCCATTTAAGATATATAACGTTACAAGGGTTAATATTGCTAGGCTGTTTGTTGTCAAGCTGAATCATTACAGATCAAGTAATAATTGACACTTCGATGGGATACTTTAGTAGTTTTTAAAAGTACATTTGAAAAACACTACAAAAATAATTGCTTGCGATATAATTTTTGTGAGTGTGTTTCCTTGTACTTTTAAGTAGCTATCACACCACCAACAATGTTTATTCAGTCTTCTCATGATTTACTGCGGTGTTTTCCCCATGCCTTTTAAAATTACTTGATGAGAAAAGGCACTTGAAAATGTTTACGCATATAAAAACTGTCATGCAATGAATGAATGAATGAATGAATGAATGAATGAATGAATAAATGAATGAATGAATGAATGAATGAATGAATGAATAATGAATGAATGAATATAATTAAGAAATGATATCCGTCTGAGCGGTGTTTATCGGTTTTTCACAATGTTATAAATGTATGCTACGTGATGAAGAAGTTCTGTTGGTATGGCTACTGCGTAGTGATATTTTTCTTTCAATATTTTACTAAACTAAGAAATTTGTTAAAACCGCAACAAATGATTATCGAGAGTAGCATACTAGACGCACCACGCACTTATACACATGGGAAATGAATACAGTGAGGTTTATTTTGATAGCAGGTGGCGCTATGACGACTTCTCTCCTGAAACGGTGTCACAGGTAAAATGTTATCACATGCCATTCGGAAAAGCTGGTATCCGGGATCCTTTTAAATGCATAGTAAATTCGTGAATGTCATTGGTTACTTCTAGCTCCTGTCTAGTACTGTTTCAGCTGTGTTATGTTATACGTGTAAATAAGAGTGAAAAGGGGGACAAAATATAATTACAGTTTTTGTACAGTAAACTACTGTTTGTGTCTGTGTGTGTATTTGAATTTATTCATACTTGCTACCGGTTGCATATACTTGTGAGTACTCCAAAGAAATATAAGTATACTGTTCCAAATGTTTATACCATGATATGTGTTTTTAATATAATTCGTTTTATGTGTTGTCCATATTACAATATCTTTTCGTGAGTTAGATTTTTAATTGTATATTTTGTTGTCTGTTATATCAACACCAAGGGCCAATAAATATCGCGCAAGGGATTGTGGGCATAAACGGGAAAAGTTTCTATTTGATTTTCCTTCTTAGATATAGATCGACAAATTGATTTCACATGTCAAACATATGTATATTGGTTAAGTTCTTATTATCAAGGTTGTTATCAATAAACGGGTATTTATAAAATCACAACAAATGCCATTCATAGAACAAATGATCCATATCCCTCATGATTTATTACGATACTGTGCGTTCCACATTGATTATAGAATTTTATCATAAAGAGGGTGTATAGCTAAATTATATAGAGATCCCAGGAATTGACCACTACCATATCGCTTTCTAAATCAAAGCACAGAAGACGCTGAATTTGTTTGGGTACCATAATGTCAGAAAGGTGAAGGTTGTGCGATTATAAACCAATTTGTTTTTGTATAGTGCCACCAATGCTTTCCATTGTTTTAACTGTAGTAAATTGGCTATAAGACTAATTACAACACAGATAGTCAATTCAATGTTTACTTGACTTTTAAAAAAATAAGTTGTCTCAACTGGGATTTGAACTCGAGACCTCTTAATTCATAAGCGAGCGTGCAAACCCCTCGGCCACGGAGAAATTATAAGTAAACGACCTGAAGAAAACCATATTATTCTAAATTAGGGTTTGTAACTCTTATTAATTCGACGCTAAACACAGATGTAAATAATCATGGAGCTTACTTTAAGCATGTATATCTTTAAAGAATGAAACAATATTAGAAATCTTCGACCATTCGGGAACTACTTTGCTTGTAAATTAATGCGCCTGTCATTTGACAATCTTTACGCATTGATCTCCCCTGAATTTTTCGGCGTTAGTGTACATATAAAGGGAAGTGACCGCTTCAAAAAAGTGGACTACTTAAGGCATTTACAATTAACAGCATTAGGCTCTGAAATTTTGCTACCATTATTTGTTTGGGTCGTCAGACCAAACAAATATAAACCGTGATCGTGTTAAATACACAGAGTCCCCGGGAACTGGTCATAGACGTCAAAGGGAATCTTTTGTCAATTATGTTAATTTTTTCTTATAACATTGTCTAAAATTGATAATACTTAAATACACGAACATAAACTTAAGCTAAGTTGTGTGTTAACAAAAACTTTGATTTTTCTATTGAGGCACCGATCAGTAATAAATAAACATTGTGATTTTTACTTTTGATGCATGTTAATATATAGCTATAAACATATTTCAGTACTTCTAGTTTAAATCAATATACTGGTCATTACATACGGCATAATCCAAAGAATTTGTCGGTGTTTTTTTTGCCTTTAATTACAAGTATCAACATAAGTAAAGTTTTATACATATCCCTATATTTCTAATACGATCCCGGATTCCGAGACCCCCCCCCCCACACACACACACACAGAGCACCTTCATCTCCTTTTCTCCTTTTAGAAGAATATCCTCTAGGGATTGCCGTTGTTATTCATGAACAATATATGCCAAATAATCCCGGGTACCCTCCACTAAATTTGCAGGGAATCTAAAAGTAACCGCAAAGATATCTATAAAAATATAACTTAAATCGAGTGATATTCTCTTTGACGATATATATAAAGTCACGTGGGTTGGTTAGAAGAGGTGTTAAAATTTAATTGAAATACATTTTTGTTAGTCATTGAAGTAATAATGTATATAGAACTTTCAAAAACAGTTATTATTCAGAGCGGGCGCTATGATGCAGTGGTAACAATATCTGTCTACCAATCAAGGGGTCGTGAGTTCGATTCTAGCTACTCAACTACATGACTACAAAACTGACAAAACCAGAATATAAAACTCTAGAGACTTAACTAATATAGCACAAAAACAGAGACTTACTGGTTTAAAACAAACAGATACAGACTAAACTGACCAGAATTCAATTCTAAAGTCTTAACGGAAAGAGGAAAAGAGCCATAACAGAACAGGCAACAAAAGACAAAAGGGACGTGACCCAGCAGATAACAACAAATACTAAACGGGAGCATTCTACAATACACTGAGAGGAACAGACGATAAGACACGGAACAGACAAAGGACATTTAAAGACACAAGGACATCGACGAACGATACAGACAAGAGAAGACTCAACGAAACCGGAAAGGAGGACCGATAACAGAAGATGTATGGAATATGTAAAGAAAGACTTAACGGAACATTCGAAAACAAAGATGTAACGGAGCAGAGGACACTTTATAAGCAGGGACATCAAGAAGGAAAGAACAAACAACAAGACGCGCAACACAAAACAAGAAGATACGTGATACAAATCACAACATAACAAACGAAACAGACAAGAAAAAATCTTAGTGATCATAGACAGAAAACGAAGACTAACAACAGAATAATTAACGGTCTACAGGACACTGAATAACACAGATTTTGGAAAACACAAAACAATGCATGCCTTCAAACCAACATGTTGGAAGTTCGATACTCATCTACTATACTATTACGGATAAAAAAGATATTACGAACAGATAGTAAGACACATAAACAGGAAAAGGCCCAACTATATAAGAGTGATTAAGACACATGTACAGAAAAAGAGTATCAACAACAGAAGAACTGACGGATAGATAACACAGTAAAAGACAACAGAACAGTAAATCAGACAACAAAATGACAGACACGTCCGAAACATTAAAATAGATCAAAGACAAGAAGTTTATTTGGACAGCAAACTAACAAATTAATCGGGAAAATACATATGAAAATGAAAATAACCAATAAGAACGAAATCAACAAAATATATAACCAAAGACTAATTCAAATAGCTTAAAATTAATTCAAGCTCTTTATGTAATATTGGTGGATTACTTCCACTCATCATTCCTTTGTACTTCATAAATTCAAAGCTCTACTTGTATTCAGTGCTCCGGTGAATTAAAATTACACAAAATTAACACACACA